TTTCCCGGGACTGTTGGCGAACGCGAGAGAGAAAGAGAGATACGCGTGACGATAATTCGAAGAAACGTCGAAAAGCGAGAAGATAATAAGAAAAGAGGTTTTCGTAATAAGGGTGAAAGCGGGGTTGCATCGGCGACCACAGATGGTCACCTAGAGTAGCACATACACAGGTATATATACATATGAAACACACGCACGTATATCACGGTGCAATTTAGTCTGTCTTCCCCTCACGTCGCAAACGGACGACAGCTGCATGCGCGCGAGTCTTTGGGCCCTCCTCGCCGGTATTCCCGGAAAGCCACCGTGCCGTTGCATAAAGACGGCGTAATTATTTCTATATAATTCGCTCAGGATACCGAAGTGGCCCCCGCGTAAAGGGAAAAGGGACAAAAAGTTCGCCACCGTGAGATTCCTGGTAGGACGTCGTTAAGCGCGCGCCGCGCGGGCGAGTGGAACGAACGAACGAACACCGTGCCCTCGAGCGTCTTTTACGCGCTCGAGAGAGGCCGACGTCGGATATAATGAGAAAGAGGAGTGGAGACTTCTAAATTCTTATTTCCATCTTCCAACTTTGACATCGAAGAGAGAGTTGGGGGCAGAGACAAGTGGACTTCGAAATTCTCATTTCTACCTCTCAACTTTGATGCGAAAGAGAGGATCAGAGATGGAGGGAAAGTAGACTTCTAAATTCTTATTTCACTTCTTTCACACCGAAGAGAGAATTAGAAACAGAGGGAGAACGGGAGAAAAGTTCGGTTGAATTGAGAATGAACGGGAATTAAACGCGTTCTGGTCAGGAAGGAAGCAGAATTTCCGACCTCGCGAATCGAAAATTCAGTTCTCAATCTTCGCAAGGAAAGGCGGGGTCACGAATGGCCCAAATATATGAATATGCATTCTGTCTGATTGAAAGAAAGAAAGGGCATACAAACAATAAGCAAGCATTAAACTCTCATAGCAGACGTCACTTTAGTCGCGATATCCAATAGATACACGTTCATCCTATTGCCGTTGCTGTACAGCCTCAAGGTTCAACACGTCTTTATCAACGTTTTCTCTTTGTTCTCTTTGTTCTTCGCTGTTTTTTTTTTTTTTTATGTACTTTAATGTCTGGTCTACCAGCCAAATGGTAATGAAGGAAGAATTGTTTCACGGAGCGGAGGGAAATAATGGGAAAATTGATGCATCTGTGAGATATATTGCGACTAACGGAGGGCTGTTGTCGCGTTACAATTCGACCACTTTTTTTGTCACCGCGAAGGAAATTTCTAAATTCTCATTTACTATTTCTCGACTCTCGTGACCTCGATTAAGCGTGGCGGCGGGCCACGATCGGTTCATTCGATCTCTCCATCTCGGCCACGGGACGACATACAAATTGCGCTGCGTGATCCGAATGTTCGAACACGCGCGGTATCGCCTTTATTCCACGCTCGGCTTAACCGCGGCACGCACACACACTCCGTATGCATGACGTATATATATGTATGTAGGTCAAACCATAATGGAATTCCGCGTATTAATAACGCATTGTATCGCATACTTCGAGAGAGAGGGAGGAAGAGAAAAAAAAAGGGAGAGAGAGAGAGAGAGAGAGAGAGACACGCTTGGTCGCCGATACGGATAAAATAAACGCGCCTCGGCGGTTCGTCGTTGTTGCGTGCGCTTCGCGGGGACGTACGCGTTTCGCGGAGGAACTGGGTCAGATTAAAATGGAATTCAGGCTAATAACGCGAGTGCGAATCGCGCGCTCAGAATCAGTCAATAAAGCCGCCCGCGAGACGGCCACGAATCTCTCTCTCTCTCGCACGCGCGCCGTTTTCAATGAAGGTCGACACCTCTCCCCCCTTCTCCTCCCGTGCGTCAGTAGTCAACGCATCAATCAACCGCGATGAAATTCACGTGCGTCCACGAATATATATCAATGTCGCTCGCTCGCAACGCACCGTATGACCGACTACGTCGGTAGATACGATATGTTTCTCGTTATTCCGAGAATTGTGTACTGTGGCGCGCGCGCTCTCGCTCGCTTGTGTCGCGCGATATACATACACACGTATTACCACGAATGCAGCCCGCGTCCCGCGCCACCCCCCCCCCCCNCCCAGCGCTCGTGCAATCGCGAGAATCGCGTGGCGAAATCCCGTCGCGCGTTTCCGCCTCTCTAGCTCTCGCACGTGCGAACGGGCGAGCGAGCGAGCAGACGCACAATGCGAAATTCGTGCGCGAGATATCTCTTCTCACATATTTCAGCGCTCCCGCAAGGGAGGGAGGGAGGGAGGGGGAGGCCCGTTCCATTTCTCGCTGCGCGCGCGCGCGCTAAGTACGCGACGTGCGCGCACACCGGCATAGATACCGCGCGCGCAATTATCATCCGGCGAGTGACGAGTACGAGGAAAACGCGCCGCTGCGGCTTATCGTCCTTTAAAGTTCCCGGTAGAGATCGATAATTGCGCGACTACGAGACTATTATCGGCTGATTTATCTGACGCCCCCTCCCCGATAACTCTCACTATTTTGAGAGAAACGCTTGTTTCATTGAGCGCGTATTCCGATCTCGGAAGGATCTCGCGTAACGCTTCCGCTTAATTGCCCGTATAGGATGTCGGGCGAGTAAAGCGAGCCTTTCTTGAAAATATGTGATTGAGAGAGAGAGGGAGAGGGAGAAAGAGAGAGAGAAGTGGCGACGGATTTCTAAGATCGCCACTGTACCCGCCCGAGTATTCAGTATCACCGCGACAATGTCGCTTTCTGTCAAATTTCTTTCATTCCGCCCGAGTCGGAAACGCATCGACTTCTTGAAATTAGTTTTTTGAAAGGTGCGCCGGCCCTGACCGGTGGCATTATACTTATTTCACGGAAACGCCCCCCCCCCCTCTTTCCCCTCCCTCTCTCTCGCTGTCTCTCACCCGGTCTCTCTTTTTTTAAGGAACGAAACGACAGACTGTCATATTTTTCAGAAGCGGACTGACACGCGCGCCGCTTCGGATTTTATGGCTTCCCGGTATCGTTTGTCGTTATTTATTGTTCGTGTTGTGTACGTACCTCGGGTGGCTTTAATAGGAACCTTCGGTATCTCGCTATGTATGCTCTTTTAATTTGTGAGCGCGCGCGTGTGCTCGTTCTTCTGCGAGATGTTTGATAGCGTCGTATAATCGCTCGTCTGTAATTATCTTTTATTTCAAAGGAAGCTTCATTAATGCGAACTCGAGAGAGAGAGACTCCCTAACGTCGCGCGTGAAATACCCACGCTTGCAGTTCCGATATAACGATTGATTGGGCGACGTGGATTTCACAGATAGATGCACGGAGAAAATAAGTTCGTTAGTGTAACTGTATTCTCTGTTGCCTGGGCAACCCGGTGAAAAATCGGTAGTAGAAATAGATTCCTGTTGGAAGTTTCCATTCAATCACTTTCAGCTGTCCCAATCGAGTTCTGATGCGGTCAGATGTTCAGATGAATGTTCTCAATCGGCAGGAATTTTCTCAGAAAGAAAAAAGACAGACTACAACTTGCGAGTAAACATTTAACATTTCCGAATAAACATTTGCCAAGGAATATTAGAGAATGATCATTTTACTGCAATTCAGTAAATATTACTTCAGTGTAGCATACCGAAAGAGAAAACGTGCTAACATGTTTGTACATTCAAGCGTGTTAGATATTTGCGCTTTGAGGAGTATTGGAATGATTGTTTTATTTGGATTTAATTAAATATTCAAAATTTACTATAAAGACTTGCAAAGAGCTCTGCGCTAGAAATAAGTGCGCAAGTAATGATTCAAGATCTTCCAACTTGTGGAGTTTACAGATTTACTGTAATTGAGTGAATATTACTTGAATACAGCACACCGAAGGAAAATATACAATACTCCTTAGCACGCATGTTTACTTGAATGTAGCACCTTTTTCTTTCAACGTAGAGACTGAGACTCCATTTCCGTGCGGAGAAACATATTTCTTTCGCGCCGATTAAGTGGAAGAGGAGGGATGTGGAAATCAGCTGTAGGAATTCCGAGCCAAACGGAAATAACCGTGAGTGAGACCTGTTGGGCTCGGAGGGAGGGAATTTCCGTCGCACACTCGACCTATCGCCGAGCGAAAGGTCTAATGAATTGCTAATCTCCTCTGGGAAAGCGTTCGTTAAGCGCTGCAAAGTCTACCGATCGAAATCCTCGCGTCGTTGAGCGCTGCTCGTGTTTGCGTGTCGATTACTTCCCGGTATCGCCCGCGCGCGATAATCGGTCCGCGGGAATACAATTAATCGTTAGACGCCACGTCGTTATCGAGAAAGAAGCGATACGACTTCCAGGTTCTGCGTACGACGGAGAAGCGAATTGTTGACTCGGCCGCTCGCTCGAGTGCGAGAGCTAATCCCGCGTTTCATCACGCTTCACCACGCACGATGCGATTTCCTATTATGTACCCAATGGCTTTTCGAACGCTTTGAATGTTTTTTTTTCTCTCTCTCGATACAGTTCGGGACGTCAGCGATAAGAAGACTTTTTAAAAATATTTCTTCTCTCATTGGACCACCAGTTGCATTTCCAATTGCATCGAGAGACAAGTGTTGAAATGGATTAGAAACTCAGTGCACAGTCGACAGATTAAAGAGACTGTAAAAGTATTTTCAAGGAGAAGGGCACTCATAAATTTAGTATGACAGCCTCCTTAAAAGTTGCGACGCTTTCCTGAAAAGTCTCGCAACGTATCTCGCGCAGCAAAATATATCTCCCGAGAATCACTAACAAAAACAAAACGATTTTCCCGGCTGGAAGCTCGTCGAGAAAAAAAAGTGTTGCAGCTCTTTAATCCGCCGACTGTGTGTACACAAACACGGCACACGCACACAGGTGCGAGGCGACGGCCGCTATTTTTACATCGGAAGCGTCGCGCGCGCTAATTAATTCAATAACGCCGGGTTCTCGCCAATTGACACCCAGCCGCGAGAGACACCCAGTCGATCGCCAATTAACCGGCCGCTCCGTTCTTCCAGAGAGGCGTGTTATGCCGATTGTTGGGCTCCGGACGCGCGAGACCCCACGACGATGCTGACGGTGATGTGCCCGAACTGCCGGCACCGTTTCCGGGCAGCTCGATGTTGCGAGCCCGGCGGAGGAGGAACCACCAGCAGCCGGAGGGAGGAGGAGACGAGGGGGGCCGTTGACTTCCCCGTGACGACGACGACCGGCGCGGGCACGACGTCCTGCTACGTCGGCGGCCTCCTGGTGCCGCACGGCTACACCAGCGGCGACGGTACCTTCATAAACGCGCCGACGATCGTCCACGGGCCCGCCGTCTTTCAGTCGGGCCACTGCGCCCCCACCGTCGGGATCGTCAAGCCCAACACCTCGATGGCCGAGCACGACTCCGCGCCGCTGCTATCCGGTGCGATTCCTCGCGCCGCTCAGACGAGGCAGGCGACCTCCCCGCCGAACGACCCGCCGCCTTCCCCCGTCATCATGACGAACTATGGGATGGCGGCGCCCGCGGAGCAGCACGTCGCGACCAAGTGCGAGCTCACCGACAGCACCGTGACCATCTCCGCAGCCGGCATACAGTCCGGCGGCTACCTGATCCAGAGCACGGAGACCGGGATCTTGGTGCAGGCCCCGGAAGCGAGCATCGAGATCCGGCCGAACGGCAACCGTGCGCTGGACAGATCGTCCACCGGGTACAACACAGAGACTAACGATGTTCACCGGGCGCTCGTCGCGCCGCCGAGTGGCTGCTCGGAGTTGCCCGGCTGCAGGAGGAGCTCGCTGTCCAGGGTAACGGCGGAGAGCAACGAGACGATGGAGCCGTCGAGGCAGCGGAGGATACCGTGCTCGATAAGGACGAACGGTTGCTGCTGTTGCGGGACCGACGGCGGCCGGATCCAGAATCTCTGTCACGGTCGGTCGCGGTGCGACGCCTCGGCTCTCGAGGACGATCACGACTCCCTGCTGGTGGAGCCGGTGGGCGGCGGTAGTGTGCAGATCCAGGTGAACGCCACGTTGCAATTGCCCGCGAGCCTCGGCCAGTGCAAGGTGAACATCACGGCGACGACGGCGGCGTTGCCGGCGTCGACGAGCCGCGTGATCGCGACGGAGACGCGTGTGCGCAACAACTTCAACGGCGGCGGCATCGTGCAACCGGACGAGATCGTCAACAACGAGCGCAGCGACGGCACGCCGACCACGCCGGTGTCCTGGCTGATGCCGTACCCGTGGAGCCTGGACACGTACTTGCTGGACAAGGATATCAACCGCCTGTGCGAGGTGAAAAGGCTGCTGCAGATCGGTGGCTGGTACCACGAGGGCATCAGTTGGCAGCAGAGCGAGAACCTGCTGAAAAACGCGCCCGTCGGCCGCTGGCTGATGCGCGACAGCTCGGACAGCAGGTACACCTTCGCCGTGTCGGTGCAGACCAACCGGGGCCCCACGTCGGTCCGGGTGCATTACTTCCTCGAGCGGTTCCGACTCGACGCTGAGCCGCGGCTGGTACTGGCGATGCCGCTCTTCGACTGTCCCATCAGGATGCTGGAGCACTACGTCGAGTACTCGAAAAAGATGGACGAGCACCGGCGGGAGGTCTGGGTGGACTACAGCGGCCAGCTCTACAGCCAGATCTACCTGACGAAGCCGTTGGTCAAGGAGGTCAGGTCGCTCTCGCATCTCGCCCGACTCGCCGTGCACCGGAACAAGCTGCCTACCGACAACCTGCCTCTCTCAATCAGGAACTATCTCGCGGAGTATCCGTATACGCTTTGAGCGAGCGCGCGGCTCGTCCCCCTCGCGCGCGACATACGCGTCTATCTTCCAATAAATCTATACATACATATGTTAAGCGGAGATTTTATTTTTCTATGATACGGCGCGCGCGAAGCTCTCCGATCGGCTACGTCTCTCTCTCTCTCTCTCTTTCACTCACACGCACACACACACACATGCACACAAAGCTTACGCCGATGATGCACACTACGCAAATACGGGAAAAGAATGCACGGAGGGAGGATTCTTTTCCTCACGGTCAAAATTATAATAGAGAGAATATTACTTCGTTAAAGCTCGGCTGTGTGTACACAAGATATTTTCCTTTCGCGTAAATTCTCGTGTGTAATATGTAAATCGAAAGGTCGTAGCACGACGACTGGTGCAATCTTTTCGAAGTCTAACGGTGGTGGAGGTCGCGTCGGGCCACACAGAGGAGGACTCTACGTGTTTCGGTGCATTGAAAAAGAAAAAAACGAACAAACGCGTCGTTGCAGGCAACTAAGACGAATTAGTGAGAACGAGAGGCGCACGTTGTTGATTTGTTTTCAACGATCGTCGGTCGATCCGTCGGAGGTGATATCCCACGTGAAACAACGAGCATAATAAATTCCGACAGCGAATTCGATCGCTCATATTACTCCGGATTAGTGCATGCTGAGGGCTGTTATATATGAAGTAGTTGTTTAAATGAAAAGACATATAAACATTTTGAACGACTAAACTGTAGTTTAAAAAACCATTTCTTTCTTTTCCACTTTCCGCGGAAGGAAGCTTAAAAAAATCCGTGGAAAAAAAATGAATTTTTTAATTTTTTTTTCGCGGAAGCCAAAAAATTAATTTTTTTTTTTTCAAGTTTCGAGTTAAAAATATATTTTTTTATTTTTCACTAATCTTTTTTATCTTTACAACTATAAATTAAATATTTAATAATGATATTGTCACGTTATTTAATGGAACATCGTCAAAGGTTTATGTTACGCTATTGTATTTGGATACTTCATGTGCAGCGGCCTTTTAATATGTACTGACTCGGTGTTTACGAATGATCGGATTCGTTGTGTGGCGCACGAAAGAACGGGATAGATCCTCGGAGCGTCGCGGCGACGAGAGCGGGAAGAAAGAAAGCACACGCCGCTCGCGCGAGTCTCGTGCGCGATTAGTCGGCGCGCACGCCCCCCGGTGCAGCATAATATTAGATTATGTACGCGATATACACACGCATATACACATATTTACGCATACGTCGGATTCTCTCATCAAACGTTTCGCAATGAAGAATGAGAAGGAAATGAAGCTACTTGCGTATGTTTAATAAGGGGACAGGAGAGCGAGGGCGCGATTTATCTCGCGGATCGCGCTGCTCGCGCGTCAGAGAAGTGTCCCGTTGCCAAGATCGTCGATTGGTCCGCGCGAAACGGTTTATTCTACGCCGGGATACGGAAGGGTACCATTTACATACCCTGATGAACGTGATCTCGCCAGCTATACACTCGATAGAATCCACGAATAGCACCGGGCTATTTGGACAACGATCCCGAGATCGGAGTAATGCGAGAGGAGGGAGGGGGGAGAGGGGATGGCCATTAAAGATATCCGACGTGCTACACGCTCTGACGTTCGAAGAGTTGCAACGATCATATTTATTTGTGAGGGAAGGAAATTAATTCTTCTCTCTCTCTCTCTCTCTTCTCTCTCTCTGTTGACTCATTAATCGATAATTTATCGAAGTATCGCCACTGATAGTCACGCTTCGTTGTACATAATCTCACAATAGTCGCGATAGCACGCATGGGAAATGTAATGTTAAGTTTAATATATCGAACGCGAGTAACCATCGAGCTCTCATGTGAGCGCGGACGAGTGTCATCACTTCGCGGCGGAAGAAGAGGAGGAAAGAAATTCGCGAGTCCTTCTCTTCCGAGTGACGCGTGTGACTGACACACACACACACACACGCGCGCGCGCGTGGTGTATATATATCTCGGTTCGACGCGTATCGAAGATCAATCGTTTTTCTTTTCGCGTCCGTCGATTTCCGTTAGAACATTTCTACGATAAAGGAAGATCTCGTCACGGCGTTTCTCTTATATCATATCGACGAGCTTGCGAGCGTCGCGCGCATTCAATGCGGTTTAATCGTTGGACAACTTGATGTTTGTGTTACGTCCGTCATTGGTCTGATCTTTCTTCGATCGCCACACGAGAGATCTCTCGTTTACCACTTCCTACCCCGTTGACGTTCGGGGACGAGTCGCAGGCGAATGTCGCGCGTGCGCGCACTGTATATCCGCCACTGTATTTTAAACAAGATCCCGGAAAGCGAGATGCTCTGTGGTGCGTCTTTCTCTTTCTGAGATCTTTTTAATCTCCGCGAGCCAACCGCTCCATTACGTTTTACCCTTGAACGATGGACGAAGCGACGAAACGTAGATTTTTAGATATAAGTTTATGTACGTCACACTCGAGGATAAGCACAGTACAGCTTGGACCGACATCGATTAATCTGCCTGGATCCTGTCGCTCGGAGATTCGCGACGGTCTCCCGGATCGGTGTTCTATGGTGTCATTTATAGACGTGAACCGTTCCCGGGTGTTCAATCGCGAATCCAAGACGCTTTCTTTTTGCGGCTTGTTCTTTATCTATTGATTCAGTTTGTATTTTAAATTGGCTCGTTAAGACTCTAATCGGTCAAGAATGTTCACCCACTGCTTCGGATCTGCGAGATTAGTCGATGCGAGTTTTCCTACGATAGAGAGAGAAAGAGAGAGAGAGAGCGGCCTCGCCGAGGAGACCGCTCGGATATGCCGTGTTGTTGAAAAAGAAAACGAAAAAAAAAACATTAGGCGTATACGAAAAACTCTTAGGTACAAAGTTACTACACGTGCGTCTCATCAAACCGGACATTCACTCCCGTTCATACATACACACGCACACACAAAGCGCCCACGGACTACATAAAACATATATTTTTCTAAAAAAAGCCGCGAAATCCCGAGCGAGAGCCTCTGAGGGATAATTAGAAAGCCTTGCGTGTGCGAGAGACTTAACGGTGAGAGAAGAAGAAGTAATAGCGACGTAAGAGTGACGTGAGGCGTGGGAAGGAGAGAGAGGGGGGAGGGGAGGGGAAGAAGCGCGTTCACGCCGTGTGTCGCGCTCGTACGTATAAATAAACGCGTACGTATGCGCGGAGGCGTGGGTGACTGCACGCTTTTGCGAACGTACGCACGCGGCTATTGTTAACGGTCGGTCGCGAGAGAGAGAGAGAACGATGTGTGTGTGCGTGTGTATCTGTCTCTACATTAGAGATACGCGAGAGAGAGCGGCGGTTCGAGGCGATTCTCAGAAGCGGTAATTGCTACGAGATAACATTACACGCGATTTGCGCTCGCGTATGTGCGTGTGTGCGTGCGCATGTAATTTGCAGTTGCGATATGTAAGCGCGATAGAGACACAAGCGTTGTGTCATGTCGGCGGCGCGGGGGCAAAGTGGGGTAAAGATCAGAGGGATGTGTGCGGCGTGCGTATCGTTAAAACGCCGGTTGGAACGGACTGTGTCATGTCGCCTGTTCTCGGCGTCGGAGAGTCCCGCTCTCTCCCGCCCGGCCGAATCGAAAGATGCGCGCGCCGTCCGTCGTGAACTCCGATGGCTGCGTTCAGAGAACACGAGCGATCGGGTGAGCAATCAGTAATTATTGGCCCTTTATTACTGTTAGATCCTTAAATGCAGACCGAGACTATGTTGACGAATTGTACCGGACCGTTGTGTTTTCTGAACGCAGCAACTGACCCCACGTCGCTGCTGCGGCGCACGGACGAGGCCGTGTGTGGCTTCGCGGCGATGGCTTCGTCGAATCGTCGCTCGGGCGGAGACGACTGATGATCAGGCCGGAAGGAAAACTGCCAATTTTCACTCGTGAAATTTGTGTGCCTATGCGCCACCCCCGGACACCGGCGTGTGTTCGCTCGTATCCGGTCGCGCGGCAGTCGTCCGATCGGGTGGGGAGAGAACACTCTCGGCGCGAAAACCCACCGAATGCTGCGCGACGTGTCCGAGGTCGGCTTGAGAGACGCTCGAGTCCGGACTAGAGAGAGGTCGATCCCAATCTCCGGGTCTCTCGTTGCATCGGTGTATGCTCTCGCACCGGAGAAACGAGGCAGCAGGTCCTTCCACGAAGGACCCCGGGGGATGAGTCGCGTGTAAATAAAACCTCGGCGGAACATGTAGAATCCGGCGCGAGATCGCGCGCGCGAATTTCGTCGAGAACGTTGTTCCTAGTACAAAATGATGAATCGGGAAGATTCGAGCGCTTTTCTGAGTCTGTCTTCACGATATTATCTGTGTCTTAAGTATATATATTATTGTTGCGTAATGTAATATTATTCGTATGTGTAATATGCTATTCCACGTAAGCGCTCGTCAACTCCGACCGTGTGTAAATCGTGTTTCCTCGTATCGGTTGGTCGATCTCGCGCGCGCGAAATTTTCACGCGATCGAAAAGACGAGGAAGAAGGAATCTTCGAGGAAAATTCCAGGCCGGACGTTATTGCTGCTGCCAGCCAGCGAACGTGTGTGTTCGCCCTGAGGGGAAACTCTCGTGCAAAGGCAGATTTAGGAGATTGCTTCTGAGTACTTGTGTCATTGTCTACTCTCTGTATATCACGGTGTGCCCGATGCAACCATATGTATACCGTATTCTCTCAAATCTGGAATAGCTATTTCGAAATTAGTAGCGACCTCTCCTCTCTCTCGTCTCTCGGCGGAGCTCTGTTCTGTGATACATCGAGGCACCGTCGAGCAATTCGAGACATGAGAGAGAGAGAGAGAGAGATTTTCTTTCTCAAGTGCGATTTGGATCGACCAGACTCTGACTCGCGTGTCGTCGTTAGATTCTTTTCCGCATACGACACCTTTATAAGACATCTACGCACTTCGTATATAAATTTAAGCCGACGTTTAAGGACTTTCAAGACCATGTCTTTTATATTGCAATTAACACGATATATATGTATAGTGAACAAATTAAATTATTAAAAACCTATTTATTATGAAAAAAGGCGTTCTTTCTTTATATCGTTCTCACCACCGTACTCTGTTGCAATGTATCGCCTTAGCATCATTGTCATTCGGTCATTATCATCGTTCAATGTCATTGATATGATTGTTCAATATTTTTTAGCGAGTAGTTCTCGACACACTGTGTATATTCCGCAATGTATGTATTTCGGGAAGGCGTCTACTGCAAAATCTGAAATTGTTCACTTGTTCGATTTGTTGAGTTGTACTACGACCTCGATTTGATGTTAAAGACAGAGAAAGTGGAGAAATTAGAGAACTACATTTTAGATCTTTTAGTTTTATCAGAAATGTATATACGGAGAGAAAGTTATTACGATAAAAATATAATTTGTATCTGATGATTTGAGCTCCTAACGACCCGCGTGGCGCCATCTAATGATATACGTTGAAAACCTATCAGGCGCAAGTAGGGTACTAATTATTTCAACTCAAAATAAGAAGGTTATTCGTCGTGAGACGAATTATGACGCTTGGAAATAAGAAGGGTGTCTGATACAATCGTTGAGTTGTTCTTGAGAATCAATAATTGCCTGATTCATTGCGGATTCGAATTACTTGAAAATAAAAACACGTCAGACTTGTCGTTGAGTACTACGTCCGCGATTCGTCATTAAAAACGGTGGCGCCTCATAGCGGAGACTTTGGGACTAAAATCGGAGGTAAGATTGATTTGACTTTTCAACGATTTCTCGGAATGCTTTTCCAAATAATCTGAAGAAACAGAAATAATACACTTGTGCCCACTTTATAGCACTGACAATTTTCAAAATTTTGCCGATTAGTCAATTAAAAGCCACTTTACCCTCAATGTGATGTTTCCGAACGCAGCCTAACTGGAACTAGATTGCACTTTAGCCTTTAGAATGAAACAAATATATAACCGAGCGAGAAAGGAAGAGGATCGAAGTTACAGTGCAGCACGCACTGTAGTTAGTTCAGCTACGAAGAACAGACCACCAGTTTACATCATGGTTGCTCCACGACTGCTCGCGACTGTCAACACCGATCAATTAGCAGCATAATGTCTAATAAGGTAAGCATCTCGCGCGTTTTTAATGTGCCGGCGCAATCCTCGTGTCGCGTCTCCGATTAAAGAAGAAAGGGCGGGCTCGTAAGCTGCAGTTTGTTTCGCCGGTTTTCATTCGCACGATCGCTCGAATTTGACATTTTACGGTCAAGGTTTCGCTTCGTCCGAGTCAGCCTCGAAATTATTGACATATCGCTTCCCGCGAAGCTAAGTAAATGTCAATAGTACGTCGCCGTAATAACGGATTACCGGCTGCGTATAACTCATCGTCTATGCACATCCCTCGTGAGAGTCGGCGCGATGCACGACTCGTTCTCGTCATTTCTTATTCATGAACAATGCCGACGGTAACGATGTGTTGTCGCGTTCGCATATACCGTTCGATACGTCGACGATAATGTACTTTCTTTTCAGGGAGCCACTAAGAAAACCGAGCTTAAAGATGACGTCAAGACACGTACGCGATCGAGATCGAAGAATCTACTTGGCGGCGAGAGCAACGTGGAAACGTCGAAAAAATTGGAACCCAACTTCCCGAGGAAGTCGCAAAGTGTTGAGCACAAGGGAGATGGAGATAGGTTGTCGAAGGCATCGCATAGTTCCTCGACGAGTAGAATGCAATCGACTAGAAGCACCAGTAAGCAATCGGTGGGGTCCTCTCAGTTCAAGACTGTCAAGCAGAGTCTCGCACCCTCGACGTCCAAGACCGGCCTGGTCAAGACTTCTTCGTCCAGCCAGTCGACAAAAGTGAGCACAAGCTCCAAGACGAGGAGCGAAAAGCCCGCTAAATTGAGCGACGACAGCACAGTGAAGAGGCGGAAATCCAGAGAAGCGGGGTATTCGGAGAAGAGAGGTCTCAGCACGATATACGTGCCGAAGTCGACAACGAGCAAGTTGAATGCTAAACTCAACGAGAAGACCGGATCTCGCGCGACGAGAGACAAGGGGAAATTGCCAGATGCTCCTGCACCCGATAGAACCAAAGCGCGAATGTCGTCCAGAGAACGCAGGAAGTCCAGGACGCTGAGCCCAAGCGAGATTAGGATGCTGCACAGCGTTACGAGGCAACCTGGCAGCACAGAACAGAGCAAAGGGAGAGACAAGAACAGTCGTCCAAACGCGCAAGCGGACTCGGGTGAGGCAGACTACGAATATGAGGACGATTTTGAGGTAAGAGAAAAGAAAAGAATGTACAGTTTGGAAAAAGCTTATGATAACGGGAATAAAAGCAGAATATAAGAATTTTAATATGAAATATATGAAATTACATACTTCACATGGGCTTACAGGATTACGAGTCCGACTTTCAAGAATGCACCGACAGCGAGACTTCGCCGATCAGCGAGAGGTCGGATAGCAGCGACAGCAATTCCCATCCGGAGCCGATCCAGCTGCAGACACGGGAGAAGGTACCGGCGTTAATTCGCCGTTAACATCAGGCGACGAGATAAGTTTTCGATCTAACGGAAATGTGTGTCTGTCGCAGAAGAGCGTAGTGAGCAGCACGGAGCACGCGAAGGTCGAAGAGGAGCGCATGCTGGACTCGGGGCACTACGATCTCGCGGAGGCGAGGAAGCGGGCGGCGCGGGTGGAATCTATGTTCGCAAATCACTCGAACACACCGCCGTTGCCCGAGCTGAGAGAGCCGGTCGGCAAAACGTTTAGGTTCGTGATAACCGGGATCAGGTATCAGGACGAATAAACGGATACTTGGTTTCCGCTGTTCTCTTATTGTTCGCCGCACTCGTTTCACTTCGCACACGCCTTACATGAAGTGTCTTGTTTGTCTTGTGTGGAAATAAAGCACGAAATTTACAATTGTAATCTGGTATCGTTTGTATTCGATGTTGGGAGCAGCGATGACAGACCGGCGGAGAACAAATCCTTGCCGTCGTCCACCGACGAGGGCTTCGAGGACAGCCGCTCCGGAGATTTTACCAAATCTCCGCCACTTTCGCAGATACCGTTTATCGACTTCCGCAAGTCGAAGGAGAACCGACGCGAAGAGGTAAGTCGTCTCCGCGAGGATGTAATGTGTTCTCGCGCGTCGAGTAATTATTATACTGGGTGAGGCGCTAACTTCTTCGAAATATGAGAGTAGGGGGAAAATATATCTAGCAGAAGTTGCACTGATTCCAATCATCACTTCGAATACCTGTTAATGGAAATTTGCTTCACTCTTTCATCTAGTCGTTAATAAAATATTTTTATCTTTCGAAGATATTCAAGTTGGTTACAGATAATATTATCTAGATATTCTTTTATCTCTGATTTTATATTGTATGTATGTACAAAACAATTATAAATTATTATTTATTAATTGTGTATTTTCTATTATATAATTATAAATTATTTGGATGCAGTGTCTCACTCATATTTCTGCGTATTGACGGCGCATTTTGTCTTCGCAGAACTCGCGTAAGCATCGAAGCAGGGGCGAGGAACTGTTGGAAATGATCAAACTGGATTTCATGGAATGGTCGATTCTGGAGTGCAGCCCCGTGCCTTACGACGAGTTCATAAGAAATTACGGGAGGCTGAACACTCAACAAGTACGTAACCCTTTGGTGAATTGCATCAGTTCTCCCCATCACATGCTGTATTTCGCAGATATTTACTCAGACCGGCGACGACAACATAGACATTGAGATACAGACGGACGAGGTGTTTCACAGGAACAAATGGACGCAATTTCCCGTAACTTGTAGGAACGAATTGCGCGATAATCAGGACGTAAACCTGTTCAAATTGGTAAGTCCGAATTTACAATAAAGTGTAAAATGTGACTTCTGACTAAAGGCGTTTCCTGTCAAAAGCAACAATAATCCCTTAAAGGCTTATTATACTCGTTAATTCAGCCTAAAAATTGATTATTTGGAGTTCACACAAGCAAGAATTTACATTCTGAGTTTCGTGAAAATTCGCAGGAACAAATCGGCGTAGGGAGCGACCTGGAGGACACAGAGGATGCAAACTTTCCCTTACGGCCGTCGTACGACGTATTGCGTCTGAACGACTTTCTGAATCGCGCCGGCACGGTCGTTCTGTCTCTACTGGAAGAAAGAGAACACGGTGGCAACGTTTTCCAAAACGACGTGGATGAATTACCGTTCAGCGAAGGCTTTGTCAAGCTCTCCGTGAACACGGTGACGTTCTTGGCCAGCAGAGCGGTGAGGATCATACATTATTCGGAGGTTCTGAGCAAAGTTCTGCTCACCGTACACTCTCCCGTGGAAGAGGTGAGCGCTTAACCAATTATGGTTCGATACGACTCGATGGAACGTCGTTAATTCTTTCTTTTTGTTTTTTCTATGTTGATGTTAATACAGGAGATAGAAACCGCCAGTAAGCAGGATTACATCACCGACTGTTGCATCGGATGCGTCTGGAACATCTCGGAGCCGTCAATGCCGAAGAAACTGTTCTACTCGCAGTGCCCCATCACTGCTTGCTGCTTTCATTTGACGAATTACAACGTGGTGTTCGCCGGTCTCGAGGACGGGTACGCGACTTAGTTTTCTTCTCTTTAAAGCCTCCTGTTCCTTCGCAACCATTAATGACGTCAGAAGCGGGAATACGTACGTGTCTAAAAGAATTCTTGTGAAATATGTTGAAATAAATAGCCGTAAAATTAAGGTGGCAAAGTCGAGAAAAGTTCAAAATTACGGTCGCATGTCACGTTGATTTTACGGTTTCATATAATAATAATTAACAATAACTCTAAACGGGAAGTTTTTGGAATATTTTACAAATGTGCTCGATCGACTATAAGTGTTATTTCATTGCCGTATTTTTTAATCGAACGTATCTTACAAGAACTTTGGGTGTGCGTTTTCTTGCTTCTGGTGTCGTCGAACAAGACAACTGCGACGAGGAGCCAGAAGCCTGAACACACCGATGACAGGAAACGAGAAATCTCGTTATCACGCCAATACAAATTGGCAAGGGGAAGCGAGATTTCTCATTCTTCGTGGCAAATTTTCGCGAAATTTCGATGCGCGCCGATGCGTGAAGTTTCTACGTGTCGCTCGAGTCCGCTCGAAGAGTGAAACGTTGGTCGTAGGTCGTTGAGTCTCTGGGATCTCAAAGAGGACGAGATGTGGCATCAGAAGGTCACGGACAAGGCGAACGAATTGGACTGGGTGATAAGAACGCCGACCCACACGACCACGGCGGAGTCGGAGGACACGCACACGTCGCCGATCGTCGCCATACGCGTGCTTTCCAAGATCGAGACCGCCTCTGCGAAAGGAGGAGGCAGCGGCAAGTTCGTCCCTATTCAGGTTCGCAACACACGTTCACGACGCTCGTCGTAGTAACAATGTCTTCTTCTTCCTCTACTAATCCTCGCCTGTGCCTAACGAATTTAACAGATATGTAGCTTAGACGAGGACGGTTGTCTCGTAGTGTGGAGTATCGTGCATAACATGGGTATAAGTATCGACGACTTGGGACTGTCTCACTGGGGCGACATAAGACTCATAAAGAATCAGAAAACGTCCCTGACGAAGGGGGAGAACGCGAAAACGTAATTCAAAAATAGAAATAGCAATATAATGTATAATCACGAACGTAGCGCACTTGCGAAAAAGAAGAAATCGTCGCGCATAGTCGGCGGATTGAAGGTGGCCGCACTTTCTTTCGACGAGTTTCGCAGCGCATCTCGTAAATAAAAGAAGAAAAAGTGTAGCTTCTGAAAATTGCTAAAAAACGAATTCTCCCACTGAACGCGACATTCGTTGCGAAACTAATCGAAGAAAAAAGTGGAGCGACTTTCAGGCCCGGTTGCACCAACTCCGATGAAGCCAAATGACGATTAACTTACAAGGTTGCAATTGAAATGTCTAACTCTTCTTTCTCAGTTTCTTCTGCAGCAGAAATTTTAGTAGATGATTTTGTAATGACGCATGCGCACAAAATTCTTGCGAAATACATTGAAATACGGCCGTAAAATGATACATATAGTCGATTTATAGCCGATACAGTCAAGCAAAATATTCTTGTAAGATATTTCGAAAACTTTTTTCTTACTCTAACAATCAATAAATAATTATAAAATTAACATTACATACAACCAACATTTTTAAGTTATCTTATAATTTTGTCACCTTAATTTTACGACTTAATTTTACGACTATTTGTTTCAACATGCTTCGCAAGAATTCTTTTAGATGTATACATTTTCTCGCTTCTAACGTCATTAATGTTAATCGTTGCTTAGCTTGATTGAAGTTCGATGCAGCTTATGTCCGATTTCATCAACGTCGATTAAACCTTAATCTGAATCTGTTTTTTGTCTGATGAGAGTTTAAACTCGGGTTAAGATTTAATTGACACTAATTTGCCGACTGTAGCCCGATATGTATGCCCGACGGGAAAGTATTTCCTAATCGTTCGACTTTCTTCTAGAACGAACGCGTTCCTCGACATGCATGTGGACAGTGCGGACACGAATAACGTTTACGTCGCGACTAACAGCACCGACGTTATGCATGCCACTTGTATCGGCAACCGAACGAACCCTTTAACGTACAAGCCAGCCGAGATAAGTGAGTCGCTCAGTTCTGTCGCTTCATTCTGACATCGCGACGAAGCCTGACGTTTATCGGCTGCGCTTAAATATTGCAGGTGACTGCGGCAATTCAACGTGCATCGACGTCTGTCCTTTCGGCCAGTCGTTCTTTTTGGTAAGATTGTTTTCACTTGATTCGAACCTCGAAGTCCCGCTTCATTCTCGGCGGGGATCGTCAATGTTGCTTTTGCGATTGAATCAGGTCGGCTGCGACGACGGGACGATTCGACTTCATTTCTTGAACGTGGAAAGGCCGATCGTGCAATTGAAGAGCGAGCAGTACACGAACAGGATCAAGGTTCTGCAATGGTCGAAGACGAAACCGTTAACCGTATATGTTCTGGACGATAAGTCGCGGTAAGATCCTCCTCTCGCAATCGAAATAACGGGTGTGATGTGGAAAGCGGCGAGATGAGAACGATAATTGTCAATCCGACAGAATTCACGTGTGGGACTTGAGCGAGAGCGACGTCTGCCCTGTACATACATTCCCGATGCAAAAGTGGGGAAAGATAAGCAGCATGCAGCTGTCCCCCTGCACTATGGATCAAGATATGGCGAATCAGTACTTGGTGAGTTCAAGTAGAACACATAATATGCGGGAAAGGACCCTCTTGCACAGTCTGAGTTTCAAAATGCGCGCTCTTCAGGTCCTCGGGATGGAGTCTGGCGACGTGGAGGTGCACAAGTTGAGGAAAGATTTTTACTACTCGAGGAGGGAGGATTTCTTGCAAGAACTGAACGTATTTTCACGATATGTGTCGGTTTCCTAAACAAGAAGGTCGTTACATAAGTCGATAATGGGAAGTGAATTATATAATTAACTACACCGATAGTAGATCTCTCGTAGAGTCGCATAATAGTTCCATTATGGGATTGCGAACACGAATTTCCTACTTCCAATCTACACGTGCACTCGCAAAGCAAATAAGTTGGACGTTGGGTCGGGCAAGTATCGTTTCAGTGCAAGGTGACTCGTTGCGTTTTTTCACGGACGTTCGACAACGGGGGACAATCTCTTCTGACCGGTATTATAGTTTGTAACATTTGCGAAACGACACGTACAACAGTGGTCGCGTCTCTGATTATTTCGAACATGAGAGTACAATTTTTCGAGTCGTGTAATCGATACACGCTCACAAGCCGTTGTTGATTTTGTATACTGTACAAACACGCGACGATTGAGATTTTTGCACACTTATTCGTACGTGTAATCAATAGGAGAAAGGTTGACAGCACCTTTACCTCGATGCATTTGATAACGCATCCGGTATCCAACAGAAAGCTTTATCTCCTGAAGAGAGAAATACTAAAATAACAAATCAATAAAAAAATTATAGAAAAATTACAAAATTTACAATTATAGAAGAAATCACAGAATTACTAAGAAACAAATTTTCTCTCTTGGCATAAAGATGTGTTGTAAAATCCATTGAAAAAGAAGCGTCACAACCTTTCTTCCGCTCAATATATATATATATATATATATATATACATACATACATATATACATATATATACATAATATATATAGATCTTTCTATCGCGTTCCGTCCGAGAAGATAAACGCCGTCCATGTAGATAGATAGCATTTCTAACACATTTATACGTACATTTATATAGTGTATTGTATAAAATATATATCGTGTTTAAGGAAGAATATTGAGAAGAGTATAAACGGAACGATAGGATTGTATAGCTGAAATATACATAAATTTTATACACAGCCCACGGGTCTGATGTCACATGTTCTCCTCTTTATTACATTACATGGTACACACACAACGATACTGGTATCCTTATAGAGAGCATAATCATCGTCGTGCTTCAACAGTTCAAGAACTGACTTGAAGTAATTAAGACAGCCATACACAGTGAGAACATCCCCCCCGGGAAGTGAGAGATCCACCTGCTCGCGGCGCTGCAAGCCTCCTGCTTCAGAAGATCCTCCACAATCTGATCGTAACTGCGCACTTGCTGCATCTGACGACCGTGCAATTGCAAATGACGCGTCTCTTCCTGCGACGATAAAAGATCCACGTTCATTATCATTTTTTCCGCGACGCTGTTACGTTTTAATGCCTTATACAGGGTGAGACAATAATCATTACCACTTCGTATATTTTCAAGATAAGAAGTAAGGAGAAAAATTTATTCAATAAAAACTACATTAAGAAAGAGAGAGAGAGAGAGATAAAACAATAGTCATTACTCGAACATCTTTTGTAAATGTAAACTTTATGTTACAAGCACTGCATGTGTGGGGATTAGCTATGGTGACTCTGTGACTCGCCTTTTTTTTCTTTTTCCTATCTCGGAAGTGCAATTCGACGCGTTTCACATGCATGTGGACTCTTACGGCTCAATTTGTGGCAATCTCGCCGACAGTTGCGTTGGCCATCACCCGTCAATTTTCTCATGACAACGTCTTCCTCGCTTCCGTTGCGCACCGAATATGCACGCAATTTTTCATCACAAAAGCGCTTCGCATTTGACTTGCGTTCACTTTACGTTCGCTTCGCGCTCACTTACCGGGAAAATAACGTCGCGGACCTTGTCAAAAGTCCCGTACATCGAGAAAGCAGGCGTCTGCATGTTCTCGGGGAGGGTCGCCCCGAACAGATAGTCCATCTCGAGCAGCATCGAGTAAATCTCTTCGCGCCTCAGACTCGTGATATTCTCATGTGCTATCACCTAAAGCCAGAAGCCCGCGTTAACAATTACGAGTTCACGTTCGCATTAACACATTTGCATCGTAGGAGAATTGAAAAATATGTCACGTAATTTCCTTCTCTCTGTCGACGTCAAATGTAATAAAAAACGGATCAAATACACGCAATTTTTATGTCTCGATTTATCTTTACGACGTCTTTCGGAATTTCATGCTATCTGTTTTAATCGTGCATAACATGTGATCACCTGAAATGAATGTAATTCTTGCCCATACGTCGGCTCTTATAGACCAAGCATTTACATTGTTTTTACCTTTACATTGTTTTTATAAAGAAGAGAAACCATACCGCGCCGAAAGGCGTCCAAGTGAGCAAGCATGGGCCTGTTTTCTGAGCGTCCGGTTCGTCCAAGCACAATGCCTTGTACCCCTTATTCTCGCTCGCATCGTGATCTGAATCGAAATTACCTGCGGCATTGGACGTTAGGATACGCGGAAAAATACTGGCAGCCGTAATGAGTTGCGAATAATTGGCTACCTACTCACCGGTCTTCTTCTCAATGGCCTTAAGATTGACAAAGGCGACGTCGGCGAGGCCGGAAGTCAAGCAGTCGAAGGCGCTTATATCATCGCCCATAGCTTCTCCTGCGAAAAGATCGCAGCCTCGATATTCCCGGCATTCTTCTTCGCTTATTCGGTTCATATGCGCGCGCAATTACGCCGGAATATTAGTGCTCCCTCGCAACGGCTCTCTCGTCGACTTCACTGTGAAGCGCGATTTACACCGCACATTTTCGCGTGCTGCACGGCTTAACGAAACGTGCTAATTTAATGAACAACGCCGGCCGTTCGCGCCGGTATACCCGCTCGTATCTTCACGATCAGTCGCGTTTACGAGCGCGTCCCACGCGTGTCCGTCCTTTGTTTCTCACCTTGTTTGCACAAGGAGTACAAATTGGCCGGCAGCTCGCTCTTGTCGCTCAGGCCGAAGACGCAGCTGTCCTTGAAGAACTCGGCGACCGCCTGCGCGTCCTGACAACCCCATTTCCCGGCGGACGCGTGCCTCATTGTCGCCACGAAAGCGTTCCAGCCTGGCAAGAGACGACGATTGCAACTGATCGGACACTAGATCCTGAACTCTATTTTATCTTGCATAGTACCTACCGATACTCCTGTAGCCCGTGAAGCACGCCTTGGCGCCTTTGAGATCCCTCAGGCTCTTGAATCTCGAGTCGTGCTTCACCACCGCCGCGATTTTGTTCAGCTCCTGTTTCTTGTTCGACAACGCGTACACGACAGACTTCAGGCCTTTCCTGGAAAGAAGTCTTCTCTTACTTAAAATAACAAGAAAGCGGTTATCTCGACGCGCAAATATATATAATAAGTGTTACGTACAAGAGTGGAAATTTAAATTGTGAAATTTATCAATTTACAGAATGTAACTGCTGTGGTATATCAGGATAAAAAAGGTCTAATATAATGATATAGATTAATGAGTATGGTTAAAAAAAGGTTTGGTAAACCAAAGCCAACGGGAGACAAGCTTCGCATGCTCCTATTGGCCTTGGTTTCTTTGACCAAGTCCTCTTCTTGGCATTGTAGAGCTGAAATAATAAATCTATATACAACATAAAAAAAAGTTTGAAAGAAGTGAATCGAAAAATTGAAATTTGAAGTGAAAATTGCAAAAAGTTGAAATGAGTTGAATTTATGTTAAATTTTCAATTCAAAAAGGTTTCCCGGTTGAAACATTTCTTATCCTCTTGGCTTACTTTCTCGCCTGTAGAAGCTCCTCGGGTCTCGCGACGAAGATGTCCGCGCGACGACTTCGCAGAGCGTCCAAGCATGACGCTCTGCTCGTTTCCTGGATACAGGAGATCGGCGGTTCCACGCCGTAAACGATGGCGGCCTCTCTCAGCCAACGACACTTACGTTCCTCTAAGTTGGACGCCACGCACCACTGCACCCGTCGCGAAGGTCGGCAGCTCGCACGGTTGTTACCGCTCATGAAACCCGGGACTTTAGCCGAAGGATAAACACGGTTATTAGGACAGTTAGGGGATCGCAGCAAGAGATTTGCGCGCGCGTGCATCGAATCCATCGAATACTTTTAAATATTCCTTTAAATGTTACGAAATATATTCCTTTACACATAAATATGGTAAAAACTCTCAAATGTTCCCCATAAAAGCTTCATGAAGTTTTTATCTCTTTGACTTCATCGAGGAACTTTCTCATATGCTGTTCAACAAATATGAGATCGATTAGTGATGAATCGACGATTGGAAAATCTTCAACGGATTCTCAAGTGTGTATGTGTGTGTGTGTGTGTGACATTGGACAAACTGCATGCTTCAGCGAATGTTACACATGTACAATTACGTCGCGATTTAGCGGCAAACTAAGTATAAAGCTCCCGTATTGCATATACATTACATCGTCCTAAGTAATCCTCGGGCGTTTCCAGGTTTTCTGTACTGACCGGAGAAATGTGATAGTTCTCCATCAGCTGCAACACACTCATTTCCCAGCCGAACGTCGTGTTCTTCATGAGGCTCATCGTGTGGGCGATTTTCTCGGCGATGTGTCTGAGGTGAGGCGAGACAGACCGCTTTTCTTTTTAATCTCGCTCGTTTTCCCGAGAGGTCGAAGGAAACGGAAAAAACGGAAAGTAGCGTTCACGCGGGGAGGAACAAGTGCGAACTTACGAACTAGCCACGATGACCGGCCAGGGTTTCGATATCCAGACGCAAGGCTTGTCGTACACGACCGGCCTGGTGCCGCCGTCCGAGCACAGATAGTTGTAATTCCGCTTGTCGACCGCCTCTTTCTGCATCAAGCCACAGAGCGAACGCGTTAATACGGCGAATCGCGCAGCCACGAGCCCGCCGAGTTTCTTAGATTGACAGGCGGGATCTCCCTGAATCGTTATACCGTCCGTCGTCTTAAGGAGACGGTTGAATTGACCAGTCGAGAGTTAACGTCGATTACCTTGAAGTGCAGGAGAGTGTCATCCAGCCTGACCCAGGCGACGTCGCCGACGTCGTCAGTTAGGCATAACAGGGCACCCTCGCGTCCGTGGTACTTGTCGTCGATGTAACAACTGGCAGGGTTGTCGCACGCCGCGCAGAGATTCCTGTACTGTGATTCTGCAAACGACGAGAGAGAGGACATTCGAGGGTAATTAAAGAATGCATTTTGACGTAGAGAAAGAGAGCACGATCGTCGGTAAATTCTACACTGAGAGAAAAATATTTGCAACTATAATCATCATAGTAGTAGAGTTATCACTATAAGAAGTGTTACTATAGAGCCCGGTGAACACTAATTAACAGTAACATTACAGCAATGTTATAATTGCTGCGTATATTGCACTTACATTCTTGAGTGAGAAATTAACATTGGTGTGAGAATATAACATTGGTGTAATATTACTATTAGTTGGTTTCTGCTGGATGTCAGTGATATTAACTTAACGTGTGTATTGCTACTACTAGTTTTGTTGAAACCATAAGAAGGGTGTAGTTGAAAATATTTCTCCCGGTGTAAAGTGCAACTCTCGCCTGTCACGTTCCTCGGATTGAACACGTACTCAATTGCCCGTCGAATATCGCGTCCGGCGACCACGAGCCGGCGACACAAGCCATCTCGAAGTTATTGGACAAAGCGTGCACTCTGTTCTCGAGCAGCGTCTTATCGGGGTCGCATTCTCTCGGGATTATCCAGTTCTCGAAGTACTGAAATCATCACGCTCGATACACCGGGGAAGTACAACGAGTGATTTGAAGAGGAGCGCTTACTATTGAGAAGGCTTTAGTCCAGTCGTTGCTGACGTCGAAGCCAGGGTGGCAGAATCGCTTGCCTTTCACGTCCCATATGTGCTTCACGTTTTTATGTACTAAAGCCACCATTTGAAAATGCTGTTTATCTAGAAGAAAAAACGCCATGTCTCAGTATGGAGCAGCGAAATATATTAATCCGTTTGAGTGAAATAGGAATACACGGGGTGCCGTATTTATTCTAACGTGTTATATATCTTAACGAAGGATACCTATGTAACAAATACCCTAAATCTATTGGTCTATTTTGTAATTTACTTAATGCTTCCGGACGTCGCCTGATGGGTGTTATCTCTCGTAGTGTCGAAATTCTAATTGATTTGTGTAACTGGTTAAAACGAGAGATATCTCTACAGAGTTATTTCCGTTCAACATCTTGTACGTCGAGGAGTATTAATCCCGTGGATTAATAAATAAATAAACAAACAAACAAAATAAATAAATAAATGATGAAGAATCTGTCGTTATAGAGGAACACTCTGGAAAGGCACTTTGCGTAATCCGTACGAATATTAATTACCATTTGGGAAGAATCTTAATTCATTCGTGACTAGAACATTGTATTCGCTGTAAGCCGCTGCAGCGACGAGGTCTTCTGGCTCCAATACGGTAAAATCAGCTTCGCCAACGGTCAATCGACGCAGACAGCTGAATCTAGATCAGTTTCATCGCAGTTTCGCATAAGCAAGTCAGCGGGAAGTTGATCGATTTATGAGCCGTATAACTGAATCGGTGTTCTTTCCGGAGGAAAGGAGGTCTTACCTGTTGATGTCCGTGACGCACGCTATCGGACTGTTCAGTGCGACCAGTTTAGGACAGAGTGAATGAACTCTTATTGCGGTGTGCATGTTTTCGACAAGGCACAATCTCACTAAAACATCATGTTGTTCCTCTTTAACGCTATCACATCTCGAAGTGGATGAGAGATGTTTTCCTCGTCATCGTATCATCGATATTTCCGGATGCATGTTTACACATAAAACGATTGATTTATGTTTCGCGTAATTGACTCGCCGACACGCGAGGAGAGGGATAGAATCTCACGTTATCTTGCGTTAACTGTTACGTTTCGTATTTATAATTATTACGCTTCGAAATTCGATTCTTCAACGATTTACTTACGAAAACGTAGCACTAGCGATCGGTATTCAGTAGTAAGCGATCAGTATTATGGGTGCTGATACTGATCGCCGGTATTACTTTTTCGGGAGGGTTGCGTTACTTCGAAGTATCGTTTCTCTTTCTCTTCAGCACTTCGGATATCCCTTTCGCAATGTTGATCGCAACGCTATTGTATGGAAGCAAATTGCCTCATCGGCATTTAATGGCAAGACCGCCTGATTATTCGACGAGTCCGACGAGGAAAGACGTTTTAAGTCCGTGGTCGTTTCGCGAGAAAGAGAACGCGGAAGAACGGCAGCGTAGAGCGGAGTCGTCGATCGTAACCTTCCGACTGTCTTTTACGGCGGAACGATGACTCGCGCGCGTCACAATCAGCGAACGTAATTTTACAATTTAACAGTTTAACAACGGACCGACGAGAGAGAGATTCTTTTTTCCGCGAATCTCCCCGGGTTTCGTCGATTAATCATTGTCCCTGTGATCACGCGGAATGTCTCCAAAATGTGATTTCGTCTAACCGTAAGCTAAAAGTCGCGGAGAAGAAAATGATCGGTCGAATTAACGCGACGTTAACGAATCAATTGCGATCTGGCTGGAGGAAACAGAATTTCCGGGCCTTAATAAGCTGCATTTTTAGAACCACGATTTCCGTTTCCTTTCTCTAGACAGTTCCAACTTCTAAAATATTATATAAAGACGTCCTATTTTTTAGATGTACTTCAGATGTCTTTAAAGTAGTTGTATCGCAGAGTGCTGTATTTTCAGTAACGTAAGATAGAACGTTAAAAATAGAACATTATAAAATCTTAAACAATATGTATAAAAAGTGTCATCTTTAGTGGCAAATATCTCAACTGCCGAATGATCGATCTATTTCTAATTGTATTAATAATTAGATCATATTTAAATCTATATATAACGTGAGTTCCAACGAATTCTTTAAAAACACATTTTGAGCTATATAATTAACATAATTAGCTGATCATCTTAAGAAGCCCTTTAGAAATCTCTGCTGTCTGGGTTCAATGAAAACGCGTTTGGTCCGTTCATTGTCACGCTGAATCGAGCAATCTTTTTTCCTCCGTGGAGAACTCGTTCGCTCGGCGAACGAATTGAAGTCTGACGATTTGTGTTTCACTTACGTTTCTCGGCGTCGACGGATCCGCAGCAGTTCACGAGAGCGACGAGCGTGAAAACGTGCCGGACAAACGTACGGAGCTCCATGGTCGAGTTTCGGCCTTGCCGCCGCCCCTCTTGCGAATAAATATTTCTCGGTGAAATTTGAGAGGAATCTCTTTGATCTCAATCCGCACGCTTATCTCCTCATTCATTCAATCCGACCGCTGTTATCGCACAAAGGACACCGTGGCAGTCGCGTGTTATGCTAAGATATACTTATCGCACGATTATATGTTGCCGGGCGGACGCGTGCGTGGTATTCTGCATGCAATTATGATAATGCTTTAGCTCGTTCCCCGGGCAGCGTCTAAAATCGGGTTACGAGAGGTCTTTGAAGTCCTCTCGAACGTGTATTTAGGGCATCTTACAGAAGGACGTCTTAAATGCACGTTCGAGACGTCTCACGGCCTGATTTTAGACATTGTTCTGTCCGGGTCGCTTGAACGAAATCACGGAGGACGTGCGGTTTCCGTACACGGGAGTCGGATTGTTGTGTCGCGACTGTTGCGATTATCCAAGATGACATAAATTTTTCGACGTTAATCGCTCACACAAGACGGACGCAGAGGCGACTGACTGCGGTCCACTCCCCGTCGTTTGCGCGAGGGCACGCGCTTCTCTGCGCGCGCCCGGTAAATGCAAACGCATACTTTCGCGCACTATCCTTGAGACTTTTTGCTGATGCGACGAATTGCCGACTACGAAACCGGCCGCTCCTGTGACATCATTGAACCCACCGAGGCTGAATTTCCGCTCCGCGTGAATACAGACCGTGAGATACGAGAAGACTTTCCACCGGCGAGCGTCCGATCGGTCCAGATGTTAAATCGAATCAATTCGAGGAGAATCGTCCCGTTACTGCGGATGTCGCGAGAAGCTTTCGGAAATTTGACGGATGTTCGGTCTCGCCGTGAAACGGACGGTCTTCTCTCTCTCTCTCTCTCTCTGTGTAACCCCGGTTCGGTCAAGAGACTTGCCGACTCGAGGAGCCGGTTTCAACCTTCGTCGGTCTTCTTCTCTTCCTCTCTCTCTCTCTCTATCTCATTACCTTCACGTTGAGGTTCTCGCCATACATGCGGTAGAAGAGCAACACGCCAGGCTCGTCTCGTTCGCCGAGTCTGGGAAGAAAGGGGACCGATGCGTTCAGCAAATACGTCACCGAATTACGACGATCGGAGGCACGGAGTCAAAGCACTTACACTGAACTTCGGAAGGCACGAATGACAGGAGAAGAGAGCTCTTCTTCTCTCCGCTCACACGAACGGCTCCTTCGACTGTCCGGCGACTTGGACGACAGCTGACTTGACGATGCGCGGCCGGCGCTGATCCGGCCGAAAGTCCAGCGTAGGGAGCTGGAATCATTAAATCTATCTGGTGGGAGAGATCGAGACGAGACCGAGAGAGCCACGAGAGAGAGAGGAGGCTTTCTGCGTAATTCACGGCGCACGGCGCGCGCGCGCGTTGTTGTGTGTTACGAAAGTGACAACCCGTAAGAGACCAAAATAGAGCCGCTCGCTTTAGCGCTCCGTTCCGGCGTTTCCGAATAACAAAGATCACGGGCGAGTACGGCGTTCCCGCTGGAGCGGACGAGGAAAAATAAACTTCGCTCCAGGCGAGATGCCCCGGACGATGAATCGAGTTCCTCCGGATGAGAGTTAAACTTCGGACGATTTACTTGAAATCTGAGTCACGTCACAGAACGGAAGGTTGTATTTGACCTTTTCATGAGTCAGATATTATGCAGAAGGCTAATTCCCACATGGTACATTTCATCCTGAGGATGTCTCTTGATATCATACTAAAGTCTCGCTGTATCGAAATATCCTGTCATATCTCTTGGCTTTAATATATCTCGTGTCATCGATAATAATGCAATTTCGATACTATTTTCCTCCTTTCTCTCTCTCTCTCTTTTAATATATTGGCTCCAAGCATTTAAAAGGAGTGCTCCACTCAAAGTATAAAAGATACGAGTTACAGAAAAAATGCGTTCTGCCGAGAAAGAACGACTTCCTCAGAAATAGGCGGTTTTATAACGAACAAAGACCTCGCGAGCACGTGCGCACGCCAGAGCCGCCGAACAAAGACGTCTTGAAACTACTATGACCAAGCTAGAAATGTACGTTGACTCGACGTCAAATTAACGTTAAATCGATTTCGAAACAATCGAAATTACATCGAATCGACGTCAAACCGACAATCTTTTCTGTGAAAAAGGTGAATACAAAAAAAAAATATTACTTCTTAACTTATAAAGGCGATACAACAAAAACAAAATAGGAAAAATTTATATTTTCGTAAACAGATCAATTAATTTGTTTTCAAGCATGTTTCGTGACATATGAAACAAATATAATAATAATGTGTTATCTAGAATGTAAAATAAAATGTTAACAAAAGTTCAACTAATGGCTGTTTCTTTTACGTCGCTTCGCGTGTTTTTCTTCTTCACGCACGAAACGCGATTCGTTTCGGCCTTTAATCGGAGATTAACTGCAACTCACATACACGCTCATCGTGCACGTGATTCTCAGTGCATGTTTATTAGCGGAGCCACAATTGCGAATTATGTTCATCGGGCCGTTTTTGTTTTTCTACGACGCGCGCATTTGGCGTGCGATCGTTGCGCAATTTAAACTAGTCTCGAATGAGTTATCGAATCAATGGGCGTACATGCATGATGATGAGAGGGCTGAATATTATAATAGATAAATTGTAACAATTGTATTCACGGATGAGTCATAATTAGCTGTGCGGTGAGATAAGACCTCGTCTTTCTCGATGCAGGCGAACGCGTGCGCGAACTCCGCAGTCAGAGAGCGAAATATCGCACTGTAAAAGAGTAGAGTCTTTGGAAGGAGTAATGATTTGTTGAGTAATGAGTATGAATACAATACTTACACATCTCTTCCTCTCCTCTCCTCTTCCTTCTACTCTCATCATCTCTGGCATGATAATTACGTTATCGAAGAGGCACACTGGGAAAAAGATTCCCAGTTAGAATTAAATCGCCTGCACGATCGTTTCCGAAACATCATCTTTAATCTTAAGAAGGAGAGAAAAGTTCCGTATTAGCGTCATATTAAAGTTAATTAATACTTCCTCTGTGTGAGTCGGAAAATACTTTGGCTTTCATTTGACCCTGAAACAGAGTTTGACAGCATTTTCTGACGCTACAAGCGCGTAATAATTACGTAAATGTTCAATATGAATCGGATTTCCCCGACGTGTGACGGGATCAGAAGCGCTTAATGCACGAGGAAAAAATGAAAAGTCTACGGTCTTACAACACGCGACGCGATGCAAATTTATCCGCTCTTTTATGGCAAGTTCATTTATAAAATGTTTCTTAAATAATAAATAAAATCACTTGCAACGTGATTCTTTCGTCCTTATTTAAGAGCTCCCTTTTATATGTACGCGCTATCGACGGTCGACAATGCGACAATCTTCTGTAACCTCCTATATATTGACAGCGAAGCGACGCCAAACTCAACATTACCGAACGTAGTAAACGCATATTGTAGCGTGTTACGTCACACACGCACGTGGCTTTTGAACGATATCGCGAAAGATCGAATCTTGGGCAAATTGTTAATCTCCGTCCTCTTGCACCGTCACTGAGTCTTTATCAGATAACGTTGCAATCATCATCACACCGGGGTATTCCAATACCGAATGTTCTTTCAAGCATTACTTCGTCACATAATTTAGCAACGATCATCTTCTTCGGCGGACATGTGCAGGCAAGTTATTGTTTACGTACTGGCTTTCTTTTTTTCAATGTAAATTTCTACACGGAAAAAGAAATTCATGTTGAAGTTCCTAAAATTATATTTACTTTTAAACGTGTACTCGCAAAATTTTGAATTTTTTTTGTATACTTGTGGCACATCTCATGACAGAGGCAATGACAATTCTGCTTTTCTCTTTGTTTTTATAAGATTAATGATTTTTTTATTATATCTCTCTCCTGTAGAATCCATGTATTTAGAATGACGCTGCTGGTGTGTGTGTGTATGTGCGTGTCTATAAACAACATGAAAATTTATCTACATTTATTGTATATATATATATATATCGACACATATTAGTCACACGTGTATGACTAGAATGATACCAAATCTACTTTCCGGCAAAGCCATAACAAGCTGGCCGATGGCCTCCGGCCATCTATCTCTGATCTTCTTAATCACGTAGCAACTCACTGCAGTATTCTCATGTTTACCTTCTTCTTTAGCGACATGCGTAAATGATTCCGATTGAGCAATCGTTGGAAACATCCGCTTGAAATTATCACTGCGCAGAATGTATCTGTTGTGTTCCATCGTAAAGAAAAAAAAAAGAAAGAGAGAGAGAGAAGAGAAAATGCGATAAGAGAAACGTATCGGGCTAAATTAACCCATTAGCTGCCACGATCTCCATTTGGGGATCAAAACAAAACATAATTTGAATATAATTATACTGTTACACAACTTTTTGTGCATATTGTTGCGCGAGTCGAGTCGCGGGTAATGCGGGGTGCCTTTACAGTGCGGTAGAGCAGGAGGAGGTGGTGAGGCGCGGTAGTCGATAAAGTGTTTTTTGATTGATAAAAAACTGAAGTTGTCTTTATTACTTGACCGCCCGATACAATATCTCGTACGTGTCCGACAGCGTGTCGGTACCCGAGAGTTGAAAGTTAGAGTTGCGCCTGCGCCGGTCTCACTTTTATCCTTTTCCTACGTCTCAATCAGGGGGGACGATTTGGATGTGTCAGCGCCACGTGAGTGTGGACGCTGACCGTCCCGATTTTGATATTTCCTTTGCCAGAATGCGGGGTTGCATTTCCGCAAAACGACGTTTAGTCATTCGAGCCGTGGCCTTCGTTTATGATCATCGTTGTGCTTACAACAATATATATAACTTATCCGGGCAAAAATTTCAGAAAAAAAATTTGGTAGTTAATGGGTTAAGAGAAAGAGGTCCGTTACGCGCCCGACGTAAATTTCTTGATACGGCTCTGAACTTATCCCTCCTCTGTGATATAATATCTTTTTTTCTATATTCCTAACCCTATGTAAAGTACCAGTTGTGTCGCTACGTTCGGCTGTTTGCTTGAGTTCATAGTCTATTACATACATTAGAATACAGCAGAAGCCAGTGTTTAGTAAGTGCTTAACGCCTACCATTATTGCCTGCTGATCGGTGTACTGTTAGAGCCTTGATAGATCCAAAATAGAGTGTGAGTATCAATCGGAGAGATAATCTTTAAGCGCTGAGACCTGCCGAACTGCCGCAGCTATCGAGAGAGTGCGTGCGCTTGAAAAGATCAGTCGGAACTCGACCTTCTTCGCGCAGGCGTGTTGGAAACTAATGTCGTTCCGCCGAATAATTAACATTCATGCGAAGACCGCGCGACGTACATACGTGACGTGTGAATGAGCGGACGGGCGGACCGGCATTTGTGCAAGCGAGGAAAGCCTGAAAAGACGAGGAAAAGTTGTCAGCTGAAGCTTCTGGGAAATATCGTGACGATACGTGAACCGCAGCATTTCGTGGGCGCCATATTGGAACTGTTTGAAATTCATACGAATGATACGTCGAAGTTCGATATATCGTGAAACGAGCAAAGGACGTATGAAATATTAGGTCTGTTCGTTTTCGCTGCACTAGTTCAGCTGGTGCAGCGAAAACGAACAGACCTATTGTGTTTAACAGAACGAAGTTAGCGAAATCTGGTTAAAAGTCTGCAAGTAGCCAATCAGATCCTCGATTATCGAGAGAATTGTTCGATGAACAATTCTCTACATGTTAACCGTGTTATTCTTTTTTTCCTTCAGTCTGCAGTATGGCGCCAATTTAAAAATTCTCACGAGAGGGCACAAAATGACGGATTGAAGGGGAGAGAGGGAGGAACAGTGAAAAAGAGAGGGAGCTTTTTTGACTCTAGTTTTTATCTTCATTTAGGCGTAAATCATGAAAATTAATCACAAACAGTTGCCTGTCAAGGCGCATTATTTCTTCTTCATGGCGGGTGAGTACATGGAGGCATTACATTATTTCAAGTACCTGTTCAATTTTAAAAACTTGCACAAGCAAATCATGCTATACTTACAATATTTCGTATAAATGCATTTTAAAAGCACTTTCCTTTAATATACACATAATATAAATATTCAGGAATCCTATTTGCCCGTAATCGGGCGTGGTTGGTTGACCTCTCCCTCTCATATGCCTGTGGTGCGCACGCTGATTATACACAGGCATATGGGTCCTACAAAAGTTTAACGCCGGTTCCGAACAGCAAATTTTTAAGAGAAACCATTCACATGGCAAAGATACTTCCCCCCTTCTCTCGATAGGTTGCCACCTCTTTTCGAGAGGAGACACGAGCGAAAATATTTTTGGTTTTTACCGGGATCGAACCCGGGACCGCTAAAAGCACAGTAGACCAGTGCGCTGGTCTGCTGCGCCACGCTCGCGCTCAATATAGATATAACAAAATATAAATTCTTTAATATGCTTAACATAATACTTCTCATGATTTATTTCAGCCATGGGTCCGATTTTGCCGTTTTTACCGGTTTACGGCAAACAATTGGGGGTTTCCCCATTAGTTATGGGCAGCATCACTGCAGGCTTGCCTATTCTTTTCCTAATCGCCAAGCCGGTCTTCGGTTTCATCGTGGATTACTTCCGCACTTGGAGGAAATTGATTTTTATAATATTACTCGCCACCACAAGCAGCTGTTACGTTTTAATGTACTTTTTACCCATACTGCCGGGCCCGCTGCTGCCAGACCATCACTTTCAGAACGTTTCCTGCGCAGCTTTATCGCCCTGCGATATGAACGACGTAAGCTTTTACTGTCTTATAATTGTCTCGCGATGATGCGCCTGATTTTAATATTCGTACGACATACTACAATGAGAGGACGGTGAAACGTTTGCAGTTATTTCCGCATCTCCGAAAGACGTGTAATGCAACACGTAAAGCTCAACAAAACATAATAGATCGTGCGAGGTCCGATTATTAATGTGCATGAGGCATGACACGATTATTGACTACATTTTTGAAATATTATTTATTGTTTATTTAAGCATACCTCAGCATTGGCATTATGTAACGGTACAAAAGACGCTACATGCCATTGGGTGTGTGAGGCTACCAATTTTTCTATGCGAGTGTCTTTTCATATAGCTAAAGGGGAAGCAAGCATCTCGCCAAGTACAGCATGTTCGTTAAATACGAACGAAACGTCATCGTCGTGCTCGAAAAGTACTAATTGCGACGTTATCTGCGACAATTTCGACGACGATCGTTGTCTGTACACGTCCATCACTTTCTGGGGCTTTATTCTCTTAATGTCTCTTGGAAATATTGGCTTTAATGTTTCCAACAGCATAAGCGACGCGATTTGCTTTGACGTGCTGGGTAATCAATGTTTTGAATACATGAAATTATTAAAATAAATTATCTATTGAGATTTCGCATATATAATGTAAAAAGATCGTGTATTTGATCAGATTTGTAACGTAGCATCAAATTTGTTCAATGAATAGTTGTACAACTTTATACATTACCGTATACATGATTGGACAGCGTGTTACACAACTCACCACGTCACTGTTCATCTTCAGGCGAAGGCGGAGAAATGGGATATGGTCGGCAACGAGTATGGGGTACAATTGGTTTCGGCATCGCGGCAGCTCTCGCTGGCTACACGATAGACCTGTGGTCGCATGGAGACATCTACAAGGTTTACACACCAGCGTTTCTTCTGGTGTTCGCGTTCACCTGCTTCGATTTGATTTGCTGTAAAAAACTGGAGGTGAGCTATGCTGTATTAAGAGAAAGGACGAGGTGTGTAAAACCGCACGAGATTTTGTTCTTTCTCACTTTCCGTTCCGTATTCTTCTTCCAGCTGCCGCTTATTTCAGGATCGGCCAGCATATTAAAAGATGTATTCACGCTTTTGAAATTAAAACCCATCGCTATATTCCTATGTTTCGCTACCCTCGCTGGCATCTTTGACAGCTTTATGATTTACTTTTTATTCTGGTAAATTTTTTCGTTTCATTATTACTAATACATCGTATTTACCGATTGATATTTTCTGTTATCACGCAGTTATTTAACGCAGGAATTCAGTAGATAGGAAAACAGTTAGGCATTAATCATGTTCAATACGATCTGTTGCATCAGGTACTTAGAAGATCTTGCCATGGAAACTGGTTATATGGGTGAAATTAAATTAATCGAGGGTCTGACGATAGCTGCGGAGACTTTAGGCGGCGAGATAATATTCTTTTCTTTATCTGGTAATGTGTTAAATATTTGCTTACCTTTTCGTGTCACGTATAGAGCTTGTTGTAGAAATGACGATCGTTAAACTGGAAATAACTCGATCATAAATACATTGCGAATATTCACGTATTTGTTTCCCTTTCCAGGAAAAATATTGAAGAAATTTGGATATGGTTACACTTTTACGTTTTGCTTCGTGTGTTACGCATTGCGATTGGGATTGATATCACTGGCGCCGACGCCATGGTGGGTACTTCCGGTGGAACTGGTCATGCAAGGACCATCGTACGCGCTCTGCTATACGACGATAGTGGCATATGCGAGTGTAGTCGCACCACCCGGCACGTCAGCCACTGTTCAAGGGATCGTGGCAGGCATGGATGATGGATTTGGTAAGCTCTCCTCCACACGGTATCCTGAAAACTTGCAGAAACGTCGCGGAAATGTTTTATCGCAATACTGCGGTAATACAGCGGACAATTTTTGTCGATATTCACGCGATTGAACATCGAGAATTATCGATCGTAACAGAAATAGTTTGTACGAGTAGTACGAGTAACATTTTCTCGCAATCGACGAAAATGTTCACTTTGTAATGTAATTGCTTTGTAATATTCTCAGGGTACGGAGTTGGCAGTTTGATGGGAGGTATATTGTACAAGGAAGTTGGTGGTGCAATAACGCTGAGAATATTCTCAACGCTCGCAGCAATTTCTGCCTTAATGTACTTTGTTCTTCACACTTTGTACTTAAAGCATAAAACGCCAGGTGAGAGATCGAGTGACTTCAATCGTCAACGGATGATAGAAATGCCGAATATTACGTAAGAATGAAAGGAACTCTGAAACTTCCGTTTTCTTTTGTTGTAGATACACGCAGCAATGTTGAATTTAAAAAGCCTAACGATGCACGAGAGCACTGCGTTACTGCGGAAATGTAATTTTATATATTTTGATATAGGAGTAAAGTGTATGACGTAAGACATATTGCAATCAGCGCAATAAAAATATTCCTTATGCTAATGTAAACGCACAATGTAAATGTGCACAGTGACTATATGTTTTATATATGTTAATTTAAAGTAAACGATATAAAAAAGACATCAATAATGCGTCTGTTTTATTTAAAATTTAAAATAACGCGAATTCCCAGAGATCCGAAAAGACTGATTTGGGCTGCGTTCGAAAACTCTACTCTACAAATAAAGTGGCATTTAATTAACCAATCAGAACAAAAAGAGCAAAGATTTCTTTATCATGATTGGTTAATTAAATGTTGCTCTACCTGTCGAGTAGGATTCTTGAACGCAGCTTTGGCGTGTAAATCACACGAATTGTGCAAATTTTGAGCAAGTGGGAGAGTCGCGCGAAGATTCTATATATATATATATATATATATATACGTGTGTATGTATATGGGTATATAGTCCATATGTGTATACACGCATATATAGCCAGTCAACATAACGCATACCTTTGTCGCGCATGTCACGTAACAGGGTAAAGATGACAGACCATAAGACGAATATTACTACGTTGCCGTCGGAACTGTTGATAATAATCTTCGAATATTGTAGTGCATTCGATTTGGTGAGGCTCAGTCAAGTATGCCAGCGATTTCACGAGATAATAAAGAGGGACTTACTCTGGTTCAAAAAGAGTTATTTACCGCTCGCTACGAATCAAAAATCGGAAAGATTTCGTGAAAGGTCTGTGTTTAACCTCTATTTGCATTGTAAAGTTGAGGCCGTCATTATACTACGGTTATTTAAATTAATCAAATTAATCGTCTCTGATGTTTTTCTAATGGCACACAGAAAAGCAGCTTATTCTTTTTTTACATCTCAGCGTTAATAAAAAATTCTCTTAATAATGAAAGGTTAAATTCGTCGAGATAAGAATGCATTCTTTCTGATATGAAATATATAATAAAATGATTGTTTCCTTTCGAACTCTTATCATCAACAGAATTTATTGTCGATGTTAAGTCCAAGCTGCTTCTTTGCATGTAAATCTATACTTGACAGGTCTATAAGATGTATATCAGTAATTACGGTAGTTATCAGTAACTACGGCAGGTCTATAAGATGTATATCAGTAATTACAATTTAAAAAGGTTATCATTCTTATAATGGCACTTCTAAAAGTTATATCAATTAATATATGCCCTTTTATTCTTCAGATGTAGCCAGGTATTGTGTAATCGTTCCAAGTGGCGTGTATCCTATAATTGGCAATATGGGAAATATGCCAAGAAGTTCTTACTTCCACAACGTATGAATGCAATACCAAAGATATTTTTGAAATCAGATAAACTCTGGTGGTGCGGTAACAATTTACTTACTTGCTTCAATCGTACAAAATTCTTCGACATGGGAAACAACACAAGTTTTAAATGTATCAATAATATATGTGACTTTAGCACATTTGTTCTGATGAGAGATTTTATCGTAACTGGCGGTAGGTATGTACTTTTATTTACAAGTACTATTTGAACTATAATTAATTGCTTCTGTAACTGTAATTGTTTCTTCGATCTATACTAAAATCCTTTATAAAAATGTTTTGCAGTTGCGGTGATCTAAATTATTGGTTAATTGATGGAAAGTTCATCCATGTTACACACGCTCATGCCAATGACATTAACGCCATGGATGCAACATCAGAAGTTATTCTTACAAGTTCGCTCAACAAAGTAAAGGTGAGATTCGGAAAATTGATATACGATATAACAATGACGCTGGGTACAAAGTATGTTAACTGTTCAGGTATTTCCTGTGCCTGTGAAAAATGACAATTCGCTAAGATTTTACGATTACTGTCTTTATTCTATGATTACAACTGACAAGATTTGGTCGATTAAGGCTGATATTGAAGGCACGAAGTTTGCCATTGGCACGTCAGCGAATGAGAGCATGCCTCTCCAAATATATAACATTGAAAGGTAAGTTCGGGTTAATTATTTGATATATGGGCGCGCTCGGGTACATCCCGATGTGTATATGCGATTTGCAGTTGAGCTAATTGAGAGATTTGTAGAATGCAATGTTTGATGGAGCTGAGTCACAACTGGCGACGTGGCGCTGGAATACTAGACATGGTATGGGAGGATCCGCACACTATACTCTCATGTGGCTACGACACGTTTATTCGAAAATGGGACATGAGGTAATGCTGGTGCCCGCGCAGTTACTCCGTTTAGTCTCGCAAGCTATGCTGACAAGTACAGTTTCAACGGTTGACGATTGCTCGTAGATGCGGGAGATGCGTAAACTCGTGGGCGGATCCCACCGATGCAACGTTATATTGCATCTCGTCTGATTACCACAATACCATGATTGCGGGAACGCAGTTCAATTGCATGGCTGTTCTGTGGGATCAAAGGCAGCGAGAATACATGCAGGTGTGTATTAACTTGAAATTAAGATCACGCTCACTCGATGCCCGATCGTCTAATTCGAACTTCTAATGCTTCCAGCTTTATTTTATGAAGTGTCCAGGCAATCGCAACAAATCACCAATTTACTCGTTAGACTTCGACAGTACTCATTTATATTGTACTACAGATCGATACTTGGTCGAACTGGATTTTTACGGAAATACTAAACAATCGTTCAATTACAATGGTATGATAAAATAATGAGAAAGGCGGGCGTGCTAAACGGGAATTAAATTTTAGAAATTGACGGTACATACGACGACAAGAGGGCAAGAAATTTGACGGTCGAGTAAATAAGAATGAAGAAAAGATACCTGTGTATATTTCCCCGAAGTATTGTATAAAAGTAGCGAATATTTTTTTATATAGTCCTGTGATGATACGACACTTTGTAATTATGATATCATATTTCAAATATATGATAAATGAGTTCGGTTTTTTTATGTACTATAACAACTTTGCAACAGTTTATTTGTATATACGATACATACATAAAAGCAAAGATAATTTTCCATGCGTATATGTAGTAAGCGTAACGGTTAGAAAATATTAAAAAAAGAAGAATAATCGATCGCAATGCGGCAAAAAAGACGAGCCCGTGTTGGATCAATGATAAGCTTCGCGCCAGCGCTCGACTTCGTAACTAAAATAAACGTCTCATCCATCCGTCGTGTTAAAATAATCGATACAACAAAAATTTGGGACGTCACGAAACATTTTTGCTGCATTTATACTGTACCGACGCGTTGTACAGATATCGTAATCGCCGCGTACATAGTCTCATACGAAAGCGGGGGGAAAGAAGAAGAACCAAGCAATGTAATATTATGCTTATCACCCACGTCATAAAGCTCTCGTAAAGTGTAGCCCCTTAACCGTTATCCTTTTCGCGCACTTGAACATTTTGCCTAAAGGAGATATCATGTTTGTATATCCCAAAACCGATATTATGTGTATAAGTATCTCGTTAAGTAAGCATCTCTCAGAGATAGAATCGCCTATACTCTCTCGAGACGGGAATCTCATCAAAGCATTGTTCTAATCATGTAATTTAGAATGCCGCCGTGCTTGAAGTAGGTTAGATCGACTTCCGTGTCGAATCGCACGTTCACCTCGAACTTCTTGCCGTCGTTGGTGGTCACGGTGGCCCTGTCTCCGGGCTGATAATTCGCAGGAATCGCGATGTCGTACTCTTCGTAACCGGTTAATCCCAACGACTCCGCAGTCTGCCCGGGCAGATATTCCAGCGGTATAATACCCATACCGACGAGATTAGACCTACGAATCAATTTCATCATTGCTTTAAATTCAAATTTATCGTTGAAACATCGCAAGTGAATTGCACGATACCGCGATCTTGCGGTGAAACATTCTTACTCCTCCGCACTTGTCTCTGTGTTATGCGGATGGTGTGCATTTGTGAGATAGTTCGGGCAACTTGCCTGTGTATTCTCTCGTACGTCTCGGCTATAATCGCACGAATACCGAGCAGATACGGTCCCTTCGCTGCCCAGTCTCTGGACGATCCGGATCCATATTCCTTACCGACCAGTGCGATCAAAGCTGTTCCATCTCTCTTGTATCTCTCGGCCGCGTCGAATATGTCCATCTAGACGACATCGGTCAATCGTTATTTTTTTTCTCGTTCCAATTGTACTTTTTAATACAAATTATTCAGACGCAGATATTGCGTCTTAAGTAATTTCCACTTGTTATAGTGGATATATTTCTAAAATTGTTAGCAAGGCGGACTATAAAATCGTCACTGAAATGCACATGCGATATCGAAGCTGAACCAAGCTGATTAGCCGAAGCTAAAGAAGCGAAATCGATACGTGCCTCTTCCTTGGTTGGAATGTAGATCGTTCGTGGTCCCTGTTTACCGAGGAATTTGTTCAGCAGACGAATATTGGCGAACGTGCCGCGCACCATCACATCGTCATTTCCTCTGCGTGAGCCATATGAATTGAACTCCTTCGGTGTCAAACTGAAAATAAAAATTAATTAAATTTAAATTGCTGTAGATAAAATTACTCAACCTCTCTCTCTCTCACTCTGTTTCCTTTTCTCTCTTCTTTCATCAGCGAACTTACCCACGACCCGTCAGGTATCTCGCCGCCGGCGAATTACGCGCGATACTACCCGCCGGACTGATGTGATCGGTCGTCACCGAGTCACCGAGATTTACGAGCACTCGCGCTTTCGTGATCGACTTTATCGGAGGTAGATCCTGCAATGAAAGAACGTAGGAAATGCGATAAGCGAAAGCTCTTGAATGGGAGAGTAAACGGCTGAACGGTGTGATTTGAACGACAGATAACCTTCTCCAAGTCATCGAAGTAAGGCGGATTTTTTATGTACGTGGACTCCGTGTCCCACGGATATAGTTTGCCGTTAGGGGCCACCAAGCTCGCCCAACTGCTGCTGCCCTTCTCGATTTTGCTGTAAACTTCCTTGAACATGGTTGGAATGACGTGCTTCTGCTCCACGGCTTGAATCTCCGTCCTGGTCGGCCATATGTCTCGCAGATACACCGGGGTGCCGTCGGAATTGCGACCTGAAGATTAGAAAATGAGCATTGTGTAAATTGTTGTTGCTTTCTCTCCTTCTTTTGTTCTTTTCCTTCAGACTTACTCAATGGATCCTTTTCGAAATCTATGTCCACGGTACCAGCGATAGCATAGGCTATCACCAATAGCGGAGAGGCTAAGTAATTTGCCCTGGTGAGCGGGTGAATTCTACCTTCGAAGTTTCTGTTACCTGACAGAACTCCGCAGCAGACGAGTTCATTCTGCGAGCGAAACACAATTTGACAATAGATGTGTCGATGTGTAAACGATGTAATGTTAATAAAATATGACAACAAACAATTCGTAACTCGACGAAGTAACGAATTATTTTCCTCAAATGAGACAATATTGAATTTTGAACAGCAGTTCTTAAGTATGCAGGTTTGTTTCACACACACACACACGCACACAAAATTTTCTTTTTATACTATGCCTCTATTATGCCTAAAAGGTATAAGGGCATACAAAAAAAAAGGTAGGTAGATAAGATTTACCTTTTCAATGGTTTGGACTACGACGTCAGGAAGAGGACCGCTGTTTCCGATACAGGTCATACATCCGTAACCGATCACGTCGAATCCCAACTTCGTCAGATATGGAATTACCCCACTTTCTTCGAGATAATAGGTCACAACTCCAGAACCAGGCGATAATGATGTCTTTATATATGGTGCGATGTTCAAGCCAGCTTCGACCGCCTTTTTAGCGAGAAGACCTAAAGCAACGAGATCAAATTTGAGCATTTATTTCTGCAAACTGGTCGTCCAAGTTTTGGAGCCAAGAACGCCCAACTTGACGTGATAAACACGTATCAAACCTTTCTCACGTTAAAGTAAATAAATTATGAAATAATACTGAATTACATAATTATGAAAATAAATGATAAAATGTATCTAAAGAATTTTATATTTTCAATAATTTTCAATAATTTCCAGGCAATTTTCGCATCGTACCTGCTCCAAGCATAACGCTCGGATTGCTGGTATTCGTGCAACTAGTAATCGCTGCGATAATCACCGAGCCGTGTTTCAGCTTATAATCCTTCCCCTCGTATTCAAACGCGCCTGCGGTATTAATTTTCGCTTCGCTCAAACCGTAGCCCTTGAAGCCTACCTGCAACAGAGAATTGACCGTTTACAGCATATTTCGCTTTCTACGAAATTATTTAAGTATCCAGTCGGACTTTCGACATGGAATTTCTCCTTGTGCTTACACAAAGATATTTAGTTTCTTATTTAGCATAAACATTAGCAATATTAAACGTACTAAAAGGGCAGTGCCGATATCATTTTCACACAAAGGGATATGTAGTTTCATAACAAAAAAATATGGGAAAAAAGGAGAAATCGAGAGGAGTGGATTCAACATATATACATTGTACAATTCAACTGTACTCTTAAAATTAGATTAAGTAGACATTTATTTTGAAATGTGGCTTAGTTTTTTATGTTATTTTTTATTCTTATGCAATTCTTGCAAGTGTAATTACTTATGTATTATATCTCCAACTGGAAACATTTATGCTTTTCCGTTTATTTAATAAATAATAATAAAGAATAATAATTATGTTAACAAAAATACACATGAAACGTTGTGGATGTTAATTATACGTTAAATATACCTCCGTATTACTCTATACGGAACAAACGACAAGCGATTAAAATCATGAGTCATTAATGACGCTTGACATTTCGTTTCTGGGCTTTCGTGAGCGTTCTCGACGTATCTCTGAAGAAATCCACATAGCACATTTTATCCGAGGGGCGTCCTGTGAATGTAGGATGTCCCTTAAAGGTCTGTGCTGTATGGGAAAACATGCAACGCATCTCTCCAGATACTACAATAGAAATTGAATATAATAGAAATTTCTCGTAGATAACAATCGCTTCGACTTTCTTTTGTCGCACTGCCTGTTATCGTCTCGAGTGATTTGGATATTTCAATTTGTAAATTTGACGGGTTCAATGACGGCACGTGACCGACGCCGCGGTATGACGGATTCATTGTCCGATAAACGATTTGCTGAAGAAGCAGTGTGGAATCAGGATTTTTAAGCAATCGCGAGGTCTACGACCTCGCAAATATCTGATAACAGAAACCATCTTGCCTTCAACTATTTTACCCTCAACGTTATCTCATCTTATCTCGCGTTGTGAGGTCAAAGAAATTTTTTCTATTTTTTATTTCTTTTGGTCTCAATTTGGCCATATAACGTCAAAGTTTAATTCATGTTGGTTGTAAAAAGATGTTTCAATAAATACCTCAATTAAGATCGTTTCGTTTTTATTAAGCCCTTCTCTTAGCGTCTCCATCTTCGAGTTCCTCTGTACTAATCACGCATTAAAAATGAAAGATTGTTCTTTATTCTCTGGAGAAAATTTTCTACGCACATTCTCTATGTAAAATTCTCTATGTAGTTTTTCAAAAACTTTCTCTTCGCGTCTACAAACCCTGCGTGGTTGGCTTTTATGACGCTTAATTGGAAATTCGAGTCCGCTCTGTGCATACCTGTACGTGCAAGTCAAACGGCGGCTCGTTCGCGACGAAATGTCTGAGCTTTGCAAAACGAATGTAATAGTATGTCGTATCAGCAATTTTAGCGCGAGCTGAATACGTCTTCCAGAACTTATGCGAAGTGCGAGCAAAGACTTCTGTGCTCTCTAACGGGGCGGAAAGGCCGATCGATCGACGGTACGTGCGAATTATCTTTTCTCTCATAACTTCGTTAATTGTCGCTATTGTCTTGCATTTTGAGAAGTCAGAGAAGCCGAAGGCGCATTGCTTGCGAACGGTCCGATAATGTGAAGAAATTAAGAATCTCGAGCAGAATCATTTTATTAAAATAGGTGATTTAGAGTTTATAACGAAGACATCCCTTGCGGGAAGTTCTTTGCGACACTTCGAGAGGTGACAATGGAATATTTTCGAAGTAGCGTGTTCTTGTAATCATCGATTTAATGATAGTGATTTTAAAGAAATATAGCTTTCTTAATTGATCATTTTAATTTCAAACCATAACGTTCATGCGACCGGCGATAAGTAATGAGAGTTTTATGACAATGACTAATGAGAATTTTATTTTGAAATGTCTTCCAGAAATCCGGATGACCTAATCGAACATAATGGCATCACGGAAAAGTTTATAATCTAATGAAATTATCATTTATAATAATATTTTATAAAACATACATTTAAAATATAGTCTCCGGGAGAAAAAGTAAAAATAAAAAAAAAAGGAATTCTTGTGAAACATAAATACCGCTGCCGGAAATATCGAGATTGAGTTGTGTAAAATCCGACGTCACGTTGCATGTATGAAGAGTGTAACATTATAAATGAGATCAATTTAGACAACAGACCCCGGAAGTGTGCGACGGTATTTCAACGTAAACAAATATACTTTATCGACCTTTAATCGATCCTAACCATCCCGTAGCCGCTGAATCTATCCGTGGAAAAAGGCGTTGAATTTCACGCGGATGAGACGTCGGCTTTGTGATTCATGTGGATGAGTTTCAGCAGCAAATATCCATGCCTGTCGCAAGCCGGTAATGCGATGCCGATGTTGAACATTTGGAATAGAAATCGATCGTCACGATCTTAAACTTGTAAACTCGCATTGTATCCGTCCGTCGAGCGGCCATTCGTCAGGATTCGTCCGCCGAGTTGAGACGAGCTTTCCTCACGTTGTGAAGTGAATTAGTGCGACGTACTTTTTTTCTTCCCCCGAAATAACGATCATTACTCGCTAATGAACGCGCGCGCGCGCATTATTAGCTAATTGACGTTAGAAAATTAAGGGAAATAATTATACCATCTCGTTTCATGGACACATCATAAGGGAAATTTAGTGGCACTCGGAAAATTCTGGGTGTTGCAATCGATGGTGCAAAGGTGGGGATACAGGTACATAAATAAGCCAAATGAGCAGAGGGCCTTCACAGTGAGTATTACTTTGGAAACGTTTGGGCTTTAGCGAAGTTAGGAATCCCAACGGTCGTTGGAAGCGGCCACCCCCGGTGTGCGAGTACGAGTGAAGAAGAGCTTCATACTTGTGCGTTAGGTGATCGGCAAGAGGACCAGGAAGGATTCCTTTCGTGGATCGGCGAAGTATCGTAGGAGCTATTGTTAGATGAAATCTAACCAGTGTGATGGATATAAAAGCAACCATCACCGGGTTAAGATTTCATAAATATTAGGTTCCTCCACACGACTGCGAGCACGCCTTCATCCCTCCCGGGTGGTTCCTTGCCACTGGGGGTAAGAAACGGTGTAGTCATATGGTAAAACGAAGGTATGACTAGATCGTTTATTACCGTCAATGGGGAGAAATAGAGTTCTGCCAGAAAATCGTCGCTGCACATCGTCGTTTATCTCGTTTGCTTTTCTTTGGTGATCTATCTACATGATAAACCGCAGAATCATAAAGCTAGATCAGCAAAGTAAAATGCTCGAGATGTAACAGCAAGAAACATCGTGAGCCGGCCAGCACGAACAAAGCGTTTACAAAAAAACATAACAAACATACGAAGATACGTAAAAAAAAACACGATGCGATAATGTAGAAAAAAATATATATATACGTTCGCTATGATACCGCTTCGTTTGCGTATCAATATCTCTATTGTGAGCTGTGTGAGCTATTGTGAGTTTATATCCACGAAAGAACGCGTTGAGGTATCGATTGTGGAAGATAAAGTTGCGGCTCGTGGCGCGTTGAACGTTCGATTAGTTCGTGCTGTAGCGCATTATTCGAAAGTTGAACAAACTTTAGGCGGCAGTGTCCACTGGAACTACTGGGGTGATATGTTGCGATACGATAGCAATATCACAGCAGTAGTTACCGTAGTCACTGTCGACCGTGCAGCACGTTTTCAGCTCAAGGCGTTTTTTAATGAAAGACGGAATAGCGCTCGTTGCAGCTGTCTTCCCATATTGATACATGCGTGAGATAAATATAATTCGGTTTGACGACAAACTGTGAGATCGCCACTGGGTTATATTTGTCCATCGCAAGTATCAAACAATCGTCTGAACGGGGAGTGTCAGCTCGTATCAGTCTCGTAGACTGATTAGGTATCATTGTTATAACGCACGGTTGTTTAGGGACTACGAGCGTCACGAATTCGTATATTTGATAGGATTGTGCCACGTAGTGTCTATCCAACGGTACGTGTGACTCGCGTACAAACGACTCATTGTAGTCGACGATTAGTCACACTCGCGTGTAACGTTAACCAATTATCATTCGGAATAGGTAATAACTGTCGCGAAGACTTCTGCGTAAGAATGTTTGAGATTACCGACCTTGTTTACAAGACAATTCCTGAAGTCCATTTGCATGTCCGTCACTGAAACTCTGTCGTGAGGTCTCTTGGGTCCGCTAACGCTCGAGACGACGGTGTTCAAATCCAAAGTAACTATTTCGGAGAAGATCGGGTCCTGGCTCGGGTCGTCGTAATTCCTCAGCATGCGCACGCATTTCAGATATTGTTTAATTATCTCAATGTGTTCCTCAGATCGGTCTAAATTATTGTAGATAAAAATATGTATAAAATATCTCTGTAGAACGTACGAAAATGATTGACAAAATGTTACATAGTATTGTAAAAATTCTCGTAACGATGTGTATATCCCTTGGTGGGAAATCTCACCTGTTTGTTTCAGGTATTTTAAGCTTTGTTCATCCACTGGGAAGAAGCCCACAGTGGCGCCGTATTCTGGGCACATGTTGGATATCGTAGCGCGATCAGCAATGCTCAATTGCGTTACACCTGGCCCGAAGAATTCGACGAACTTGTCGACCACTCCGATTTGCCGGAGATTCTGCGTGTAATACATAAAATATCGATCTCTTACTCGTGATTACTTTAACATTAAACAAATAAATTATTGTAAGTATTCGTAAAATTGTACGAGTCACTTGAATATATAAAAGTATTACTTGAAAAATAACTACTAGACAAAAAAAGTGATTATATAAAAATTTTATTCTTAAAATAACTAGGCATTAAAGTGATTATGACCTTTGTAATTGTAAGGACAAGATCAGTGGATGTGGCATATTGATTCAGCACACCCTCCAGTTTGTATCCCACGACTTTTGGTATTATCATGGAGATTGCTTGACCAAGCATAACCGCTTCTGCTTCAATACCGCCGACTCCCCATCCGAGCACGCCGAGGCCGTTGATCATGGTAGTGTGAGAATCTGTGCCTACTACACTGTCAGGATACAGGAGTTTGTTTTTGTAGAACACGACTCTCGCCAGATACTCCAAATTCACTTGATGCACGATTCCGCTGCCGGGAGGTACAATTAACATATTTTCGAAAGCTTTCGCTCCCCACTTGAGGAACATAAAACGTTCCTTATTTCTTTCAAACTCAAGGTCCTCGTTCTTTTTCAAGGCATCCGGGCTGAAACATTCAATGGTATTTAGATTTATACGAATCATGCTAACTAGCGATAAATGTAGAAATTGTAATTTTCATGCTTTTTTACTTTTCTTTCTGTAACGTTATCGTGTGTATTACGCAAAACGTTTTCGGTGTATGTAGTGATTTTGTAATATTGGATCTTTAAGTTCGCGTGATAACCTTTCAATCCTTGTGTTGAGATATCATTATCAAATATTAGTAGGCACTTATTCTTATGTTGAGGTATCATTATCCAAGATTAGTAGGCACTTATTAAAACATTAAAATATACCTTCTCGTGAAGTCAGCCTGTATCGAATGATCAATTACAAGGTCTGACGGACAAATTGGATTGATCTTATCAGGATCACCACTAAGTTTTTTCACAGCATCTCTCATTGCAGCAAAATCTACTACTACAGGTACTCCAGTAAAGTCCTATTTATAATACAATACAGCAGTGATTATATGTCTCTCTTATGCAATTAAAATTAATGGAATATAAAGATTTGCTCGAGTAAGGTTTTAAAGGCTCTTTATATATATGTACCTGCAGTAATACTCTAGCTGGTTTGAAAGCTACTTCAACTCCTTCCTGGAGCATCTGATTATTTTCCCAATCCAAAATCTTCTCGACATCTTTCTTTGTCACTTGAAACTCATCACAGTTTCGTACAGCACTCTCTAAGAGGACTCGGATGGAAAATGGCAGTCTATCTGTAATATAGAAATTAAAATATATATGCCATTTGTCTATTTCACACATAAAATGTATTATACGTTAATGAATGAGGAACTAATTTTATACCAAATTTTGTCCCAAAACTGCCAAGATCATAATAGTGATACTCCTTCCCTTGAAGGGTAATTGTCCTCAATAGATGCTTGTATGGATTTTCCCCTGAAATGTCAAAAATTTTATCAGAGTTGATTTTTATCGGAAAATACCAATATTCACAAAATAAAACAATTTCCACGAAGTGAATAATTTTTTGATTGACTATATCACTTATAGTTCAATTATCTGTTATTGTGATAAAAATAGTTAAACTCGACATATCACACAGAATAAAATAACCTAAAATAAAAATATTTGCTTAAAATGTTTAAAATGTTCCTTATACTTTTTCTCATAATTTCAGTTTGATGCTGCATACTACGTTGCAAAATATATCATAATTTAACAGTATTTCTCTACCTTTACATCGTTGTGAAGTTTTTAACCTTTTAAAAACAGTTTTCAAAGTTTGCGAGTTAAGATTTTTAAATGTTGCAATCTTCGTCGTCAATTTGAACATTGCTAAATCTAATTTTACGCATTTAAATACTTTCAACGAAGAAACACGAATTAATGTCTTTTCATGTAAATAAATCGATCGAGAACAAAGCTACGATCAGAATTTTATTTCCCTCAGTCGCTTATTTTCTGTTTTTTAGCAAAATAACAAAGATACAAACTAATCACGCCTCTTCACTTACCAGCCATGATTGTCACTGTACAAGTCACGTCGGCCCGCCGCGTTAATATGTATATCTCCGTTTATACACAGTGTCCTATAAACACTTTCGTTCCATAAGAAAAACCGAATACGTTTCTGATGAGAATATTCTTATTAATTTCTGTCAAAATATAAATTATATATGCTGTTTATAGGAATTAGAATTATTCTGTATAAATATAATTGATTTCTTCATCATTCGAAACAATAAAAAGTATAATACAATACGATGTAACAAAACAAAACTATTGCGTTACTTCATACGACTTCTGTTATATTAATGAAACAATTATGTATAATTCATGACATCCCGTGACAATGCAGGTATAATACGTTTTAAAAGACAACGCACAGAGCAAAGTTCAATCACGTATATAGCACCTGTATTACCTTAGAGCATATATTATTGGAGGTAGCACGTCTCGATAAAAGTATGATCGGGATGCGAGAGAGAAAGGTATATTAGAGGTGACAGCTATCTCTCTCTTACTGAACGCTCATTGGTTGTTTGCTTAGAAGGAGAAAGGCCTATACGAAAGTTCAATTGCCGCACAACTCGTCAGCTCGTCTGCTAGTCTGTATCATTTTGACGCGTTTATTATATTTGAACATTTAAGTATGTGTAAATAGTGCTGTTTGATTGAAATTATTACAATGTCAAAGATTTGTTGCATCCCAAATTGTCGTATGAGACAAGACGATCCTGACTGTTTGGATTTATGTTTTCATAAGTAAGTCTATTAAAAATGAAGTTGTGTAGGTTAAGTGAACATTTTCGTTTTCAGTTTTGGTATCAATAATTTTTATAATTTTTTTTCTTTAGATTTCCATCAGATGAAGTTATTAACAATAAATGGTGCGATGCAATAAAAGATAACTTTGAAGATTGGACTTTAAAGAAAAGTTCATATGTTTGTAGTTTGCATTTTTCAGTAGAATGCTATCAATACTCTGGTATGTGTATGAGACGTATGTTAAAAAAAGGCTCTATAGCAACTATTTTTTCATAAAGTTGTGATATGGCAAAGTAAGATCTATATAAATACATTTAGATTTACACAAATATAAATATTAAAACTTGTGCAATAACTAAAGTACTTTTTTTCAGGGAGCAGAACGTGTCAACAGAAACTTTTAAATTCATAATTAGGGATGTATTATTTATTTATAGATGTTTCATAATGTTATTTCGTATACATTTATACGTTACAATCTCTCAAAAGTGGGGAGTTGGAATCGACCAATGAGCGTTCAGTAAGAGAGAGATAGCTGTCACCTCTAATCTACCTTTCTCTCTCGCACCCTGACCACACTATTATAACACAGGCAGTATAAGGCACGCTCCCTCCAGTAGTATATGCTCTAAGTGTATTATTGACACTCAGTATATAAAGCGATCACGTGATACGTGCGATATATCGTTAACTATCGAGAGTTCCAAGTGTCATTTATGCGATAACATTAAGTTAGCCATTTTTTTAGTAAAACATCAAGTTGACAGTGAAGTATTCTACTCATTCTTCGGAAACTTTAAACAAAAATTAATAATGGAGAAAAATTTGGAGAAAACACTGGATGACGTGTAAGTTCCGTCGAATCGCTGACATAGGTTATATAAATTTTCCCTAACATAAACGTTTTTTCACAAATGACTTTGTTTATATGCATATGACACATAATATCAACGAATATGTCATCTTACAGGATCAGTGAAGAAGGTGTCATTGGCTGTATCTTAGCTGACCATGCCGGTCTTTGCTTAGGAGGTAATAATAAATCATTGATTGTATTGACGTACAAGATAGTAGTACATTATAAATAAAATTGCAGAAGATCATGAAGATGAAACTTACGTATGTATAAAATTAGAATACGAAAGATAACATTTTCTTCAGTTAAAGGTAATGCATCAAGTGATAGTGCTGGAGTGATAGCAGCTATAGCGGATCAAGTTGCAAAACTAGAGCCAAAGTCTCCGACACCAATCATATCGCTTCAAAATGACAGCAGGTAATGCTAATTCTCTTTTGTAATATCGTCGATATGAGAACTTGCATCATCACATAATAGTATAAAAATCTGCGATGACATTGTAAATCAATTTCAGGCAATGCCTTATACATAGGAAGGGGCCTGTGGTTGGTGCTATATACAAAGATGTGTCAACTTGAAATAATTATTATTATTTCCTATATATATATATATATATACACCACTTGAAACAGATGTATGTCTCAAAAAAAGTTTATGAGAATATTTTATTATTTAAATATGTGTGTTACTGAATAAAATTTTGATACATACAAGGACTATTCCTGTTCCACCAGGGCTCGCATTTCGAATCACAACTATGAGATTGTAGAAAATAGGTGTAATATATTATATGAGGTCTGTTCAAAAAGTATCGCGAATTTTGTGTTTTTTCAAAAATTATTTATTTATACATGAATATCTACTTTGTCTCCTTCAAAGTAATCCCCATCAGATATTATACACTTGTGCCAACGTTTTTTCCAATTCTCGAAGCACTTCAAAAAATCATTTTTTGTGATCTTGTTCAGCTCCTCCTTCGATGCCGTCTTTATCTCCTCAATCGTAGCGCCGCGTCGTCCTTTCATGTGCCTCTTCAGTTTCGGGAACAAGAAAAAGTCACAGGGGGCCAGGTCTGGGGAATACGGTGGCTGCGGCATTATTAGTGTGTT